ACGGGCCTGGACATGCGCTGGCTTGAGCAGGGGGACCTTGCGTGCGCTGCAGGATTTTAATCCATGACGGCATAGTGTGTTACTAATGGTTTTCTTTGAGACTGTGGTCCCAGCTCTCTTCAGGTCATTGACCAGGTCCTGCTGTGTAGTTCTGGGCTGATCACTCACTTTCCTCATGATCATTGATGCCCCACGAGGTGAGATCTTGCATGGAGCCCCAGACCAAGGGTGATTGACCGTCATCTTGAACTTCTTCCATTTTCTAATAATTGCGCCAACAGTTGTTGCCTTCTCACCAAGCTGCTTGCCTATTGTCCTGTAGCCCATCCCAGCCTTGTGCAGGTCTACAATTTTATCCCTGATGTCCTTACACAGCTCTCTGGTCTTGGCCATTGTGGAGAGGTTGGAGTCTGTTTGATTGAGTGTGTGGACAGGTGTCTTTTATACAGGTAACGAGTTCAAACAGGTACAGTTAATACAGGTAATGAGTGGAGAACAGGAGGGCTTCTTAAAGAAAAACTAACAGGTCTGTGAGAGCCGGAATTCTTACTGGTTGGAAGGTGATCAAATACTTATGACATGCAATAAAATGCAAATTAATTTCTTAAAAATCATACAATGTGATTTTCTGGATTTTTGTTTTAGATTCCGTCACTCACAATTGAAGTGTACCTGTGATAAAAATCACAGACCTCTTCATGCTTTGTAAGTAGGAAAACCTGCAAAATCGGCAGTGTATCAAATACTTGTTCTCCCCACTGTATATGAGGGAAACAAGTATTTGATCCCCAGCTGATTTTGTACGTTTGCCCACTGACAAAGACATGATCAGTCTATAATTTTAATGGTAGGTTTATTTGAACAGTGAGAGACAGAATAACAACAACAAATCCGGAAAAACAAATGTCAAAAATGTTATAAATTGATTTGCATTTTAATGAGGGAAATAAGTATTTGACCCCTCTGCAAACATGACTTAGTACTTGGTGGCAAAACCCTTGTTGGCAATCACAGAGGTCAGATGTTTCTTGTAGTTGGCCACCAGGTTTGCACACATCTCAGGAGGGATTTTGTCCCACTCCTCTTTGCAGATCTTCTCCAAGTCATTAAGGTTTCGAGCCTGACGTTTGGCAACTCGAACCTTCAGCTCCCTCCACAGATTTTCTATGGGATTAAGGTCTGGAGACTGGCTAGGCCACTCCATGACCTTAATGTGCTTCTTCTTGAGCCACTCTTTGTTGCCTTGGCCGTGTGTTTTGGGTCATTGTCATGCTGGAATACGCATCCACGACCCATTTTCAATGCCCTGGCTGAGGGAAGGAGGTTCTCAACCAAGATTTGATGGTACATGGCCCCGTCCATCGTCCCTTTGATGCAGAGAAGTTGTCTTGTCCCCTTAGCAGAAAAACACCCCCAAAGCATAATGTTTCCACCTCCGTGATTGACGGTGGGGATGGTGTTCTTGGGGTCATAGGCAGCATTCCTCCTCCTCCAAACACGGCGAGTTGAGTTGATGCCAAAGAGCTCGATTTTGGTCTCATCTGACCACAACACTTTCACCCAGTTCTCCTCTGAATCGTTCAGATGTTCATTGGCAAACTTCAGACGGGCCTGTATATGTGCTTTCTTGAGCAGAGGGATCTTGCGGGCACTGCAGAATTTCAGTCTTTCACGGCGTAGTGTGTTACCAATTGTTTTCTTGGTGACTATGGTCCCAGCTTCCTTGAGATCATTGACAAGATCCTCCCGTGTAGTTCTGGGCTGATTCCTCACCGTTCTCATGATCATTGCAACTCCACGAAGTGAGATCTTGCATGGAGCCCCAGGCCAAGAGAGATTGACAGTTATTTTGTGTTTCTTCCATTTGCGAATAATCGCACCAACTGTTGTCACCTTCTCACCAAGCTGCTTGGCGATGGTCTTGTCGCCCATTCCAGCCTTGTGTAGGTCTACAATCTTGTCCCTGACATCCTTGGAGAGCTCTTTGGTCTTGGCCATGGTGGAGAGTTTGGAATCTGATTGATTGATTGCTTCTGTGGACAAGTGTCTTTTATACAGGTAACAAACTGAGATTAGGAGCACTCCCTTTAAGAGTGTGCTCCTAATCTCAGCTCGTTACCTGTATAAAAGACACCTGTGAGCCAGAAATCTTTCTGATTGAGAGGGGGTCAAATACTTATTTCCCTCATTAAAATGCAAATCAATTTATAACATTTTTGACATGCGTTTTTCTGGATTTTTTTGTTGTTATTCTGTCTCTCACTGTTCAAATAAACCTACCATTACAATTATAGACTGATCATTTCTTTGTCAGTGGGCAAATGTACAAAATCAGCAGAGGATCAAATACTTTTTTCCCTCACTGTATATATATCTATATATATATATATATATATATATATATATATAAGAAATACCAAAGACAGTTTGAACAAGGCTAACAGAAAGGAAAAGTTGTTGATCAAGTTGATAAAAGTGCTTCTTTGTTGTCAAACATAAAAGCAATGCGTTTTGTCACTAAACTTCATCAAGATTTACTCTATTTGTTTTTATAGAAGAAAATGTATATTTCAAAATTGCCTCCGGTGAGTTCAGGGACCAATCACAATGGGGATACACAACATGAGGTGATTGGTAAACGAGTTGCAAAAATCTGACCAATCACATCATTGGAGGTCATTTTTAAATATCTACAGGCCTTCTTCATGTCATTATCTGTAACCGAAGAGAGATATCCCCGAAGAGGGAAGGCCCAAAACAAGCTTTTACGTTAACAATAACAATGAGCACTTTTCTCAACGTCTATTGTCCTCCGAATGTTGCTGAATATCCTCTTCACTTACATTTGGCCCTCATTTCATGCACCTTGGTTGGAGAGCGAGGTAGCGGCGGCAGTGGTCTCTTTGCATTTATGACAAACATGAGCACTGGCTCGGCTGATTAGGCGTTGTTAGGCCTATCGCAGTCTCTAATGCTGCGTTCATAACCAAGTGGGAAGGTGGTAATTGCCAGGTGTGAAGTCGTAAATATTAGTTGGATGCATTCATGTGCTTTGAACTCGTTGAGAAATGCCGATTGGCTAATGGCCAACAATCTGCATCAATCATAAACTAAAAGTATAGCTATCATGCTTGTATACAAATTGTAGTGTTCAAAAACCGTATTAATAGATTGCTATTTATAAATAATGATTTGTTGTTGCATTTAACTGTCGAAAAGGCTGTTATCGAGATAATTTCCTTAGTAGGTGACGTCAGAGTTCAGCATGTGGGAGAAGTCAGAACTCAGAGATGATAGATGAGTTTACAACTAGTATTTAAAGATGCACTATGCAGAAATCGCTACGCCATTTCCTGGTTGCTAAAATTCTAATAGTTCGCATAATTTTAGTTTATGTGACAAAACAAGCAAGTATAGTGTAGAGAATCATTGTACCATCTAAACCGCTGTTAAATATATTTTCCATAACCCCAAATATTGTATTTTCAGCTGTTTAAAGCTGGTGTACAAAGCCGAAAGTAAAAGACACAAAAACGAAAATGAAGAACGGGAGTATAGAAATAGCACACATAGAACAGATTCAATGAAAATGACAGATCTATAACACACATTTCTATGTGAATTTGGTCGGGTTGCCCTAAAAGTTACATACTGCAGCTTTAATTACCAGTTGGATTTTTCCCAGTCAAAAGTGGTAAATACCACCTTCCCACTTGGTTATGAATGCAGCATGAGTACCATAGACTAGAGAACAACATCTTTGCGACCATCATGGTTGCACCTGTAAATGCAGAAAACCGCTTGTCTCTAGTGGTAGCCGCAGATCTGTTTGTGCTCTTGCCTACTCTATTGCTGTCATTGTCAAGCCAAACACTCAGATGATTCATGGCCAAATAGTAGATCTTAATCATTTTAAATCAATCTCTTTTTCTGGTGCTCCTAACTTGCCGATAAAGAAAGTTAATTTACAGCCCTGACTGCTGTTGATTTTGGATGGAGGCGATCATGACTGACCTGTGAAGAGATTAACCTTCACGTATTGCTGTTTGATATTGAAATACAATCTCAGGACAGAATCTAACACTATGCTTTTCATTCCTATGACTGTCCTCTTACCCAGCAGCTGGTTAGAGATGACTTCATGAGGGAGAATGTCAGAGGGACCAGCCCCCTTACATGGACAGGTGGGTCATTGTTTTAACCAACAAGTAAAATCATATAAACTATGGTCAGGTATATTTTCCCTCCATGCTTACAATGGTAGGTAAAAGGAAACATTCATTATCCCATATCTCCATATCCATATCCCACATTGTGTATTGTAAATTATATCATATACCACATTGTCTATTGTTAATGATATCATATACCACATTGTAGATATAACTAAGATATAGCCCAACACTTAAAGACCCCTAAAGACAGACTTCAGGGAATAGCTGGATGTAGATGATGGTGGATGCATTTAGACCCATAGGGTCAACGTGGAGAGGGTTGTCAAGTGTATCACTCAACAATCGTCATCCTACTGAAATGAGTGGCTCCTGAAGCAACAGTATGTGACCTTCTGGAGGTCATCTTCCTCTGATGACGAGTGTTTGTGATTGGCTGTGGTGGACATCCGCTATCGTCTGAGAATGTGGTGGTTGTATGTCAGCGCTGTAGTCAAACTGTTGTAATGGTCCCAGTCACTCACCATACAAGCATAGAGAGTTGTGGTTGACCTCTTTTGGCATGAATGGAACAGAAGAAAGGAAAGTCCCATTGTTGCCCCTATAGAAATGGAATGTGTAAAACAGACAGGATTCTCCATGCCATGTAGAATTTGATGGACCCATCCGTAGTGCATTACAACATATTTTATATCTCTATGGTGGTACCTTAGTACGTGTTGTGGTAGTTAAGCTGTAGCTAGTTTAACAATTCAAAGTGCTCCAGTGACCTCTGTTTTATTTATTCTGTTTCCACGAATCAACACCAGCTGTATGTATTGTGTCTCTATGGAACAGACGTCATGGCAGTCTCGGGTGGTCACTGGTGGTCACTCTGGTGGGGGTGAAGTTCTGATGTGCCAGATGGTAATGGGTTCTGACGAACAACACTATCCTACAAGCACCCTCTTATCTATGTCTGCTACCCCAGAGAGAGGCTGGGGGGAATGGGGGGCAGGAGGGGCTGGGGGCTGGGGGGGGCTGACAGGCACTGATAGGGGAGACTGTTAATATGGCATATGTGGTGTTAGCAATGATTGACTGTCTTTATGTCTAGTTATTTATGTAGGCCTACGTAGCATTTCCTGCAGTCAGATGACCTAGTGACCTAGAATGTTATTACTATTTTTCATAGTTTCTTAAACTCTGTGTTTCTTTGTCAAACAGTTTTGTTATATTTCAGTCTTCTGTGACGTATATATAGTGTAATATTGGGATGAAAACTCAAAATGTAATACATTTCAACTCGTTATCTGACATGGTACAGGTGTCTTCTTTTTTTTAAGCCCATAACCATGTTTGTGAGGTGTATACTTTTGTTTCAAAGTTTTGTTTAAAACTACCAAGAAACACCCTGTGTGACCCTGATTTAGCCCGCTGCAGTAAAATGTTAAATGCTTCACAAATTGTTTATAAGCAGAAGTTTGAGCTAAACAATTATCAACTGCCCTTCCAGAATGTACATTTACACATCTATGTCTATGACACGTCATACATCATCCGTGTTTACTGATGATGAGCTAGCGTGCTTGATGCTGGGAGTCACTGTCTTGGCAGGTGGGGTGCCCTCTGTAGAGATTAAACTGAGGATCTCTAGTAAGCACAGTGTTCTGCCCATGTGTGCTAGTCTGTCTATGTGGAGCTCCTGTAGGTTGGAGGTGGGGCCAGCTTCACTACTGGCTAGCGATTAAAACTGATGGATTCTAGTTAAGCTGGTGATCGTCAGCAGTGTGCAGGTTCGTCAGTCTTAGCTGCACTGTAGGTCTGTGAAGGAGGGCCAAGATTATCGACTGGAGCTGTCACAAACTGTGGTATTTTTAGGGGGAGCAGAAGAGGGAGGGCAGAAGACGGAGACAAGTCAGAAGGAGGAGTGCGTCGAAGGTAGAGAGGAAGAAGGGAGAGAGCAGAGGAGAGAGAGAATACAGAGAGAGAGAGGAGCGAGAGGAGAGGCTCTGCTTCTAGTCGTCTCGTACCTCATATCTGATCCTCTATGGCATCTCTCTCTATCTCTCATTCGTCTCTATCTACCTCTCTCTCTCCGTCTCTCATGCTTTCTCCTCTTCCTCCTCTCTCCTCTTCTCTCTCTCTCTCTCTCTCTCTCTCTCTCTCCTACTCTCTCTCTCACTCTTTCTCTCTCTTTCTCTCTCTCACTCTTTCTCTCTCTCTCCCTCTCTCCCTGACATTGACACTCAGGGTGCCTTAGGACTGGGTGACGCAAACCACCAGGCACTCAGAGTGGACTGTGTGGTCCCTGTACAGGAGCTCCAGACCCCCACCAGTTCCAGAAGCCACAGCCACCTCACTGGATGGACAGATACAGCAACAGGACAAGCCTTGAGAGCTGTGGATCTGTTTGTTGCTGTTTGGAACAGAGGATTGCAGTTGATCAAGTCACTAATTTAGCTTTTATTTACCCAGGACATCTTGAGAGACATTCTTGTCTTAGTGAGAGAGCAGGACTGCACCAGACTACTGAGAGTGGGAAACATATCCCTACCAGACAGAGCAGACGACGGCCATTTTAAGGGACGCTAAACCGGATTTACACCTGGGTCAAAGGTCATTCCAATCAAAGGGGTCCATATCTTCTAGAACCCCGGGAAGAGATTCTGAAGAGTGGCTGTGATTTGTGGGCTATATTGTCAATGTGGAACAGAGGAAGTGTCACTCTGGAATCACTGGTAAGTTCCTGATTCTCACAGTTTGTACGATTGTATCATTATTTATTTAACCTCACCCGTGAGAGTGAACAGGAAATTCAGCTCTTGGAGAGCACTGGAAGTGCATTTTTATCAACAGGGTCTTTGCCCCCATGGTAACCAAATAGATAACTGGGTCAATGGCAATGATCCAGTAGCATGTACTGTATGACAGCCTTTTGGATGGAAATACTGCAGCACCTAGACACATTGGATGCAGTGTCAAATGCCATGTGGTTACGTGTAAAAGAGAGTCCTCTCTGTGTTGGGAAATAGCCTGCCTGCCAGAGATTAAACCTAAAGCTGCTACAGACAACCTAAGAGAACATAAACTACACCACAATACATTTGGAAGGCTATAGCTAAACCTGATATGGGGATACTAGTATAGCAACAATGACACGATGGATTAGGCGTTTCTAGTGTTCCCTTTTCCCGATGTTCAATCCCTGTGGGCATTCAGATTGTGAATGTCTCTCAGGCAAGATCATCAACACTGGTCCAAAAATCCCAGGAGGTATCATATTTTCTTTACCCATTTACCTTTAGTGTATAGTAGGCTCTTATGTTGGAGAGTAAAGGTGTACATACTATATGTTACTGTGTGGATTTTCTGTTATCTGACACAAGGCCTCCAGGCAGTGTCTTTATTTGGACAGACTACTTTAAATATTCATCTTACTGAGCTACAGCACCAGCTGGGAGGGCTGTGGACTGCTCTGTTCTGACTGAGACTGTCAATTCAAACCTCCACTTTAATCTCAGAGACATTATCATGGGTTGTTTACTGGGTCAACAACACCAGACTGAGGAGAAAGCACTGTCCTTCAGTGTGGGGCTGTATTCAATGTCCTTCTGTTATAACAAAGCAGTGAATACATTGTCCGAAGCTGATGGGTTGTATATAAGGCATTATAAACTGGGTGGTTTGAGCCCTGAATGCTGATTGACTGACAGCCGTGGTATATCAGACCGTATACCATGGGTATGATAAACATTTATTTTTACTGCTCTAATTACGTTGGTAACCAGTTTATAATAGCAATAAGGCACCCTGGGGGTTTGTGATATATGGCCAATATACCACGTCCAGGCACTCTGCGTTGCGTCGTGCTTAAGAACAGACCTTAGCCGTGGTATATTAGCCATATATCACACCCCCCCGGGCCTTATTGCTTAATTACGTATATAAGGCATCACTAAATACTGTGTGAGAGTTATGTAGTAACTGTATTATTAATGTACTATGACTCATATCTTCTCTCCAGATTGATATGAGGTAGAGACGATCGTGTGACACAATCAACAAGAGACTCCTACTACAGACTCAATTTGTTTTGCCCATCAGAGTGAGAAGAAGGGATTGAGACAGACACAGGAAGCCAACATGGACATATTCGGTGGTGCCCCCCGTGTGCTGGGCTACTCGCGCCCCGTGGTGGCACAGTGTGGCACGGACGCCGTCCTGCAATGCAAGATCGGCGGGGACCCTTATCCTGAGGTGGTCTGGGAGAAGAAGAACGTACAGATCCTGTCGGAGGGACGCTACAGGCTGTCGGAGGAGGGCAAGGCCTACTTCCTACACATCACTGGGGTCAGGCTGGAGGACGCAGGCCAGTATATCTGCAAGGCCAGTAACAGCGTGGGTGAGACGTGCGCACCTGCCACACTGAAGGTGGAGGGGGACAGTCAGGAGCCAGAAGGGATACAGAAACAGACCTGGCTGGAGAATGGAGCGTTAGGGGGGCAACGGAATGCAGAGTTTAAAAGGCAACAGAGCAGCGAGTTGGAGGGGCAACAGAACCAGAATGGGGAATATAGACGGCAAGAGAACAGGGAGTACGGAGGGCAACAGAATGGGGATGTAGAGCAGCGGAACGGAGAGGTAGATCAACAGAATGGAGAGGTAGATCAACAGAATGGAGCGGTAGAGAAAGAAAATGGAGAGGTGAGTGAGCGGGGGAAAAAGAAGCAGCGCTATGAAGAGGAGCCCCTGCTGTCAGATGACAGACCTCACTTCCTCATCAAGCCCCTCTCCCTGAGGGTGGACCGGGGCGAGGACGCAGCCTTCTCCTGTAAGCTGTCTGGTAACCCTCTGCCCCAGGTGGTGTGGGAGAAGGACGGGAAGAAGCTGAGCGACATCTTCGAGAGCGCCCACTTCAACGTCAGCAGCCAGGACGGAGGCTGGTTCCAGCTGAAGATCTTCCGGACGCGGATGCCCGACGGGGGTGTCTACACCTGCAGAGCCCATAACAACCAAGGTGGGGCGCTGGCGGGCGCAGTGCTGCTTGTGGAGCCCGTCCCGGAACGGCAGGAGAGCGGGGCGTCCACGTCAAATGGGTACAGCAACGGGCAGACATCACCTCGTAGTATGAGGCACAGGATGGGGAGACACGGCTCGTCGAGACAGCCGGACGAGCCCAATCTGAACTCGTCCAATGTGAAGAAGTTTACGGTGTCGGAGGGAAAACATGCTAAGTTCCGCTGCTTCGTGACGGGGAAACCTAAGCCTGAGATCATCTGGAAGAAAGACGGAGTGCCCCTAGAGGCTGGGAGGCGTCACCTTCTGTTTGAGGATAGAGAGGGCTACTACACGCTCAAAGTGATGTACTGTAAACATCAGGATACAGGGCTCTACGTGTGTGCTGCGTCCAACGCTCTGGGACACACCCTCAGCTCTGTTTACCTGACTGTCAAAGGTAGGCCTTGAGCAGTGTGTCATGACTTCTCTTAATTTCTCTTCCTTCTTACAGATGTAGGATCTTTATTTGAGCCAGTTTCCTGCAGCAATAAGAAACGTGAATTATTATGTGGATTATAATTAATGGACATTTTTGTAGGTCTTGAGACCTTTTTCCCAAGGGAAAATCACGTTTTAAATTTCAAAGTGGAAATTACAAACTTCAGAAGCCTTTTTAAACCTCAAATACAGTTTTTAATTTCAGGCATTGCCGGAAGGTTCTCCTGTAACAGGGTGATCAAATTAAGATCCTACATCTGTACCATCATTCTTTCTTTCCTTAATTCATTCCTTCACCATGATGATCAACAATCAGGTTGGATTGAAACAATAAAAGCATGCTCTCACCCCCCTAATTTGATCGTCGTTTTGAAGAAATAACATTGCTAGTCAGGAACATACAGCACCTCCTACTTCATATAATTGCCATGGAGAGAGAGTTAGATCTTCAGCTGTCACAACTAATTGCTCTATAGAGAGTTCAGTAGATTGTGGAAATGCATTGCTAAAAGATCACAGTTGAGTCACGCACGTAATTGGTAATTGTTTAGTCATCATTATAGGATAATCCCAGGGTGATCCAGCCATAGCACAGCACACTGAGTTAGCTGGCCACATAAATTAAATGGCATCTGTCTCGTCTAGGCATCCACATCCCTAATCTACCAGGGAGTTATTGCCATAGAGTCTTGATTAATGGAGATAAACAGGGGTCTTCCTACCCCTACCTCCCTCTTCCTACCACTAATTCCCCCCTCCCCCTAGCTTCCCGTCTCTCCCTACCTCCTGCATGTCTCCCCTGCTCACCCCACTGCCTCCATGTGTCCCCCCCCCCACCCCACCCTAGTCTCTTCCCCCTCCCCCTAGCTTCCCTTCTCCCCCTACCTCCTGCATGTCTCCCCTGCTCACCCCACTGCCTCCATGTGTCCCTACCTCCCCCCTAACTTCCCTTCTCTCCCTACCTCCTGCATGTCTCCCCTGCCCACCCCACTGCCTCCATGTGTCCCTACCTCCCCCCTAGTCTCTTCTCCCCTCCCCCCTAACTTCCCTTCTCCCCCTACCTCCTGCATGTCTCCCCTGCTCACCCCACTGCCTCCATGTGTCCCTATATTTAGAGGCTGAATTATGAGCTGGGGTATGTGTCCTGTATGTGTCCTGAATACAGATTTTCTGCTGTGTTGTTGACCATGTTGACCACGGCCAAAGTCACAGCAATGCCGATAGATTGGAAGAAATAACCTTAAAAGTTTACTATAAATGTAGTTGAAATACTGTATGTTGAAATCCTGTAATCAATCATAGCATAAGTCATACCGTAGCTCATGAAATGTGTTATACCTTGATCAAAACTGAACTGTGCCTAAAGCACTGTAAAAACAACCTAATATGTGCATTAAGCACTGTAAAAACAGCCTAATATGTTCATTAAGCACTGTAAAAACAACCTAAAATGTGCATTAAGCACTGTAAAAACAACCTAATATGTGCATTAAGCACTGTAAAAACAACCTAATATGTGCATTAAGCACTGTAAAAACAACCTAAAATGTGCATTAAGCACTGTAAAAACAACCTAAAATGTGCATTAAGCACTGTAAAAACAACCTAAAATGTGCATTAAGCACTGTAAAAACAACCTAATATGTGCATTAAGCACTGTAAAAACAACCTAAAATGTGCCTAAAGCACTGTAAAAACAACCTAAAATGTGCATTAAGCACTGTAAAAACAACCTAATATGTGCATTAAGCACTGTAAAAACAACCTAATATGTGCATTAAGCACTGTAAAAACAACCTAAAATGTGCATTAAGCACTGTAAAAACAACCTAAAATGTGCCTAAAGCACTGTAAAAACACTACACAGAGACATAGTGCAATATGTTTACCAGACAGTGTATAAACCAATCCATTTCACAACCAACTCACTACCTCCCTTTCCACCTGTGTGTAGCTCCAGCGGTGCGGTTCAGGCGGTCGCTGCAAGACGTGGAGGTGAGAGAGAGGGGCATGGCCGTGTTGGAGTGTGAGGTACCTAATGAGGGCATCCCTACAGCCTGGTACCTGGAGGACCAGAGACTGCAGCCAGGGGGTAAATACGCCATAGAGCAGAAAGGAACCAGACACAGGCTCACTATCCGAGATGTAGGAGCGGACGACGATGGGGTCTATCTCTGTGAGATGCCTGACGGAGGGAAGAGTATCGCTGAGCTGGCCGTCAAAGGTAGGTAGACATCTTATAGTATGGAAGAAGTATGGTAGTGTCTCATTCACTCATTTAATACAGTCTAGGAAATACATCTTTGAGCATCAGAACTATTGAAACAATGTTATTCCAAAATGTTGTTTCTTATGTTTTTCAATGTTTTCAAGTTATTTTCTATGAATCATACCAAACCCAATTATTTTGCTCCAGGATATACAGCCATACAGTACATGACCCTCTACTCTCTTTTCTCCTCCACAGGTACAATTGTAAAAAAACTTCCTCGAAAACTAGACGTGTTGGAGGGGGAGAACGCAGCGTTCTGTGTGGAGGTAGAGGAGGAGGACATGGATGTCCACTGGTTCAAAGACGGGCTGAAGCTACGCGAGAGTCACCAGACTATTCTCAAGTCCTTTGGTAAAACCCACATCCTGGTGTTCGTCAACGTCTGCCACGGGGACACTGGGGTCGTGACCTTCGTTGTGGGAAGATCCAAGACCTCGTCCCGGCTCAGAGTCAAAGGTAAGGTGGATGTCGACAAAAGTGACCCATGGACCCTTAACATAGGGACTTTCCAAATCAAATCAAAGTTTAATCGTCATGTACATGTTATTATTATTATTATTATTATTATTATTATATTACACAGTTTACAGTGAACTTTTTATTTATTTACCCATGTAGATCCAAAAGGACTAGAACGGCAGTATGGTGGAAACCCCAGTTATATTGTGCAACATAATCCTAATGTAGCTGCTCGAGACTAACAAACGTACGACTGACTACAAGCATTATGGCAACCGTTACTCACCTACTTTGTACCTTTACCCCTGTTTCGGCTTTCTCCCCAGCTGCCAGACACAGCCCTCCCATCTGTCCAGTGGGGGTGGAGATGGATGTGGACAGGCCAAACAGTGTGCTCCTCTCCTGGGAGCCAGCCCCCACCAGCCAGACCACCACACGCTCCGTCTATGTCCTGGAGAGACAGGAGGTGGGATCACAGGAGTGGCTGAGGTGTGCGACCTCCGACACGGCGACCTCTGCAGAGGTCATGGGCGACAGTGTGCCATGCGAGGGCGACTACCGCTTCCGTGTCTGCTGCATCAATAAGTATGGTCGTAGTGGACACGTGGAGTTCCCTAAAGCCGTCCATCTTGGTGAGCGCTGAATTTGAGAGAAATCATGTTTATGTGATCTGGGATGAAAGACTGTCATGCACCATGGTATTTGTGTACCCTCATTGGACGTGCACTACTTTTGAACTGTCACCACCCCCTCCCTCCCCCAGTGCCAGGTCCCAAGATCAGGACCCCTCTCCAGGGCTGTGAGGTGACGGAGGGGGAGGACGCCCTGTTCTCCATCGATCTGTCAGTGATGGTGACGGGCACCTGGTTTCTGAACAGTACTCAACTACAGGACAGCCAACGCTACTCTATCCAACAGGCCAAGACACAGCACTCCCTGGTCATCCACAGCGCCAGGGTGGAAGACCATTTGGCAGAGGTCACCTTCATCGCCAACGGAGTCAGAGACTCAGCGGTTCTCAAGGTTCAAGGTAGGTGTTGGAGAACGGTGGACTGTAAAGAGAAATAACATGAAAATGGCGTCAAGTTAGACAATCTGTATTCAGGAGGCCTTATAACTAGGACTGTTTTAACATTTACATTAGGATTTTTTGTACTGTAATGATATGCAATTACATGATATTACAATACTGAATACTGCTTGAGCATCTTTTTCGGGTAATGATTCCATTCCAGCTGCGGTGGTGAAGTTCAGCCCAATATCAGAGTCAGACAGTAACAAGAGGGTGGAGACTGGTGACCCTGTGGTCCTGTACTGTGAGGTGTCCCACCCCTCAGCCAGGGTAGGCTGGTTCAAGGATGGGGTGGAGCTACAGGTGACAGATGGCCTCAACATCCAATCAGAAGGCAATATGAGGAGGATCGTTATCCAGTTGGCTGAGTTCACAGACTCTGGTGTGTACACATGCGAGACGATGGGTGATGTCATCAAATTCAACGTGGAGGTTGAAGGTGAGTTGCTGTATGTCATGTTTGGTCGTCATGGAGATCATTAACATGCACTCTCAACCAGAAATGTTACATTTTCCACATAAACATCAACCTTCTATACTGGAGGTTTTTCATAAGTTTGACCATCTCTTTAACCCTCCCGTTGTCCTAGGGTCAAAATGACCCGCCACTGTGTTGAACCAACTTTATTTAATTTTTATATTTTTGGGATCATTTGTGAGAAGGAGGCAGTGAGACTTTAAATTCACAACACAACCCAATAAGGTTTTAATTTCACATGAATTTATTCAACCATGGCTATGATGTCACACTGATTCATGCTGACGATCACGCAAGCTAACTGAGCATCCCATATCTGCCACCTTAACCAATCACCCATAACACCCTTAGCTGCGCGAGCCATGTTCTCCCACCTCCCTGAAGAAGGGAGGACCAAGGCCGTTGAGGCTGGCGAGCCCATCGTTCTCCACTGTGACCTATCAGACCCATATGCCCAGGTCTACTGGTACAAAGATGGTGAGCAGATCTTCAACCTGCCTGGTGTAGACTTTCAGGAGGATGGGCGTACAAGGACGTTGATTATCCAATCGGCTGACTTCTCCCACTCGGGCATTTACACGTGTCGGACAGCTGATGATGTCAGTGTGTTTCAGGTGGAGGTCAAAGGTGAACAACGGAGATTGCTGTTTTGTGTTTCCTCCGTTTCCTCAGAGGGAATCCTAATACTGTGCTGTACATCCTCTCTGCCGGCTAGTCATCTTCTGTTGTTGTTGTTATTGACAGGATTCTCTTGGTCCTGTAACCCAGTGTGGTGTCTTCTGTTCTAAAACAAATGCAAGTTTGAAAATGTTCTCTGAGTCTTTCTCTAACCTGTTTTTCATCCCCCTTTCTTTCCTCTCACTCACTGTCCTAATCTTTCTCTATGTGTATCTGAACAAACCTCTGGAAGAGCATGCTTAGTTTGATCACTCTGTAGCAAAACATTCCACTACTCACTCCAACCCCTCCAATCCAGCAAGCCTCCTCATCCAAACCACAACCAACGCTAACTCTAACCATGACCATCCAAACTCTCCAGGTAGTTCACCACCTCCCTCTCCCCCTCTCTCTCTCTCCCCCTACCAGGTCCCCCTGTGCAGTTCAGTGAGATCCCTGAGGAGGATCTCCAAAAGTCTGCTATGGAGCTGGATGCTGTGGTGCTCACCTGTGAGGTTTCCAGAGAGGACGCCAATGCTACCTGGTACACAGCTAACATACACACCGCTAGGAAACACAAACTGGATGTCATTATCCTTTGTGATTTGGAGTCATTTCTGCTTAGACTATCGTTCATTTAGTGGGATCTGATCATGTTCAGACTGTAAAAAATCTAAGTATGCTTATTACGAAGTTTCAAAAAATTGCTAGAGCCGTGTTGGCCAGTGTGGGTTCAGGCTTTTGTTCCAGCCAAGCAGCATCATACCTGATTCAACTAATCAGGAACGCTGAAGGATCATTGTCCTGTCCGTCATGACCTTACTCCAGGTATAAGGATGGGGTTGAGGTCCAGGCCAGTGATAACATCACCATACAAACTGAGGGCACCATGAGGAGACTGATCATCCGTTGTGCTGAGACCTCAGACGCAGGGACATACAGCTGTCAATCAGGAGACAACAGCCTCTCATTCACTGTCAACATCAAAGGTATGTACTGTACACTAGCCTAACTGCTTTCATGTCATGTAGCCGGTGAAGTTGGCTCCATTGCATAGAGCAAAAACGAGACTTTGATGATGATGCAAACTTCAATTCTCCTATCCTGGTCGTAGAATAGGCTCATCCATATACTCCTTTTTCCTTCTTGAAACCAAGAGCCTCCAGTGATGATCGTGGAGCCCAAGGAGGACGTGGTTATGGAGGGTCACATCTCTGAGCAGGTGGTGCTGCAGTGTGAGCTGTCCCGCTCCAGCGGTGAGGTCCACTGGTTTAAGGACGGCCTTCAGGTCCTGGAGACGGAGAACGTCCAGCTGACGTCAGAGGGACCGTACAGGAGGCTGACCGTGCTCTGCGGCTCGGCAGAAGATTCCGGAGAGTACGTCTGCGACACGGATGGAGACTCTGTGTTCTTCCAGGTCACCATCACAGGTAAAATAATCCAAGGTTCCATACCTGGTTCATTTGTTGTGAGTGGTAGTATATTCATTTTTTGGGATCTACTACTAAATCAATCCCCCTTATAAGAAGACAACTATTTAATTGACCTTTTTTACACTATTATACTATTTCATTATCAACCTTCTATTTAAATGTAACAAAATGCTTCCTTTTAAATCCAAGTTTTTCTCTCTTTCTCAGAGCCTCCGGTGCGAATCGTCTCCCCCACTGAGTCTGAGCTGGAGCTGACCAGCCTGACCTCTGAGAGGCTGGAGCTCAGCTGTGAGATCTCCCAGCCCGATGCCCAGGTACGGTGGTACCGAGACGGGCTGGAGGTGGAGCAGAGTGCCTCTCTCATCCTGGAGGTCCAGGGAGCCCACAGGAAACTGGTCATCCCCACGACCACTGTGGAGGACACAGGAGAGTATGTGTGTGACACAGAGGATAACTCGGTCACATGGCTGGTCACTATTACAGGTATGTATGTACAGTATGAAAAATGTATGCACTCACTAACTGTAAGTCGCTCTGGATAAGAGCGTCTGCTAAATGACTCAAATGTAAATGCAAATGTAAATGTATGTGGTCAGTGAACTAACTCTGTTGAGCATAAGAGGTTTAGCTATGTCAGGGTCATGTATTTCAATCTTTGATTTTGTATTTTTCATCTGTCAGATGAATGGATATAATTTTATTAATATAACTGTTCACAATGATTTCCTATAAATACAGGAAGTTAGATTGTTGTTTTGATGTATTGCTTTCTGCTGTCTGCTAATTTCCCATATTGCAATATTCTGGTCAAATAATAGAAATTAACCATATAAATCCCCTCCTCGCAGAGCCTCCTGTGAAGCTGGCCCGCCCTGAGACAATGTCTGACGTAATGGACTGTTTCTCTGGAGACCCCATCGTCCTGGAGATTGAGGTGTCACGGTTCAACGCTGAGGTGATCTGGATGAAGGATGGAGGAGAGGTGGAAGAGAGCAGTGATGTCTCCATCACTGAGGACGGACTCATCCGCCGCCTCACCATCCGCACACCCGCCCCAGGGGATTCTGGGAAATACACCTGTCTTGCCTCAGATGACCTTATCGACTTCCAGGTCAAGGTGTCAGGTAAGAGATGGAGGTGAATTAAGCATTATACATCTACCAAATGTTGGTACTTTGTTTTCACACAATTCCATTTCAATTCAATCAGGAGATTATAAAAAATTCTAATACAAAAATTGAAAAACAGATTAAGAAGAGAAGAGATTATTTAATGTCCTAAATTGACTGAATTATATTGGAATTGACTCTCCAATTGTGAACATTCTCCCGCCAGAGCCCTCAGTGAAGATCGTGAATAGGTCAGAGGTGAAGACAGAGGTCAAGTCCCTGCTCTCTGATGACATCGAGCTTGAGTGTGAACTCTCCCTGGCCAATGCCGTTGCTAAGTGGTACAAAGATGGCCGCCGGTTAAATACGGACGAGAGGTTCTGTGAGGAGGAAGAAGGGGCGTTCCGGTCTCTAGTGATCCTTAACGCTGAGCTGGAAGATTCCGGAGACTACTTCCTGGATGCCGGAGATGACAACATCACCTTCCATGTCACTGTGCAAGGTAAAGAATCACTTTGTCACAAATCAACTCCTATCTGCTATCCCCTAACCCTTAACCCCTACCCCCTACCCCTATGTACTTGTAGAGATCTTAGAGGATTGCATATGTGTAAAACTAAGCAATATAGTGAAAATAATTCATCCTAGCCTTTCAGAGGGCAAGGTGGATCTGTTGACATTTTGATAATACCTATGAAATCTGCATCTGATTTAAATCAACAAAAAAACGTAAGTCTCTTCCTCCTTCTCCAGAGCCTCCAGTGACCATCCTGGGGAACTCTGAGGACGCAGACTACCAGGAGATGGTTGCCGGGGACGACCTGATCCTGGCCTGTGAGGTGTCCCGGGCCAATGCCCCTGTCCAGTGGTACTGTAATGACAGACAGCTGACTAGCGATGACCGGACCTACATCGAGAGCTACGGCACGCTGAGGAAACTCATCCTCTCTGACGTCCTGCCCTCCGACTCTGGGAAGTACATGTGTGATGCTATCGATGACAAGATGGTCACCATGGTGAAGATCCAAGGTAATTGGCTGGGCTATATGGACAAAGGGGTGTTTACAGTCTTACAGATGTAGGATCTTAATTTGAGCCAGTGTGCTACAGCAGGAAAATAATCTGCAGATACAGGAAATGTGAATTATTATGTGGATTATAATTCATTGATTTTTTTGTTGTAGGAGTTGATACATGTTTCGGTAGGGTAAATCAAGTCTGACATTTTAAAGTGGAAATTACACACTTTAGAAGCCTTTTGTGTAGGAAAACAAAAGAGTGATCAAATTAAGATCCTAAATCTGTAGTCGAAACGAGGCCATGTCTACAGTAGAATAAACTTTAACTTTAAAATATATACTATATACTATAGGATGTGAACCTTTTCTTTTACACCTTCTCTCATTCTTTAATTTCTCTCTCTTCCCTCTCTCGCTCTCTCTCGCGCTCTCGCTTTCTCTCTCTCTTTTGCTCTCTCTCTCGCTCTCTCTCTCTCTCTCGCTCTCTCTCCCAGACTCCCCCGTCACCTTCGTAAACAAACAGGCAGTGAACATCATCACGGGTTACGAGGCAGAGAGCGTGACGCTGATGGGGGTCGTGTCTAAGGAGAACGCTCCCGTTCGCTGGCTCAAGGACTGGACGCCCGTCACAGGGGACCGCTTCCACACGGGGGTCGACGGCGCCACCCGGTTCCTCACCATTGACCCGCTGAGACGATCGGACAGCGGAGAGTACACCGTAGACGCCAACACAGACGAGATGCATTTCAGTCTGCTAGTCAAAGGTTTTTAACTTCCATGTTCCCATTCTGTCTTTATCTAAGTAGCTGTACATTAGGGGGGAGTACTGTATTTCTTTAACCAACAGAGCTTAATATGATGCTATAAGCCAAATCCCAATAAGAAAAGTTGACAGAAAAAAGCTGTTGTGAATGACAAGCTGTTGTGAATGACTAAAGCAAGTCTTGTAAAGCACTGTGGGGTTGAAAGAATGCACTATGAATGGGGTTTCAGAGGGCGATAGAAGGTATCACCAATCTTAACACCTCTCTCTCACTTGTGGTCTCAGAGATGAGGGTGAAGTTTGCCAGGCCGCTCCACGACACCGTGGCCCATGCGGACGGCATGGTGACCATACGCTGTGAGGTGTGTAAGCCCAAGGCGGATGTCCAGTGGCTGAAGGACGGCGTGGAGATCGTCCCCGGCCGGAGGTTCACCATCCGGGCCGACGGCGTGGAACGCAGCCTGACCATCCACAGGCTGACCAGGGAGGACACGGGGGAGTACGCCTGCGAGTCCAAGGACGACCGCACCGCCGCCAGGCTCAGAGTCGAGAGTAAGTAGTACAGCCCTCAAAATGGGTGCAGGTTTTGGTTCCAGCCCAGCAATAATACCCTTGATTCATGTCATCAACAAACCGTCGAGCCCTTCATTAGCTGAATCAGGTGTGTTTGTGTGCTGTCAGCCACCTGATAATCTCTCACACTCTTTCTTTCTTTCTTTCCTTCTCTCCCTCCCCTCTTTGCTCTATCCCTCCATTCCCCCCTCCTCTTCCTCCCTCTCTCTCCCCTCCTCCCCCCAGTGCCCCGCGTGGTAGAGTTCTTGACAGAGCTCCACAACACCATGGTGTTAGAGGGAGAGGACGCCACCTTTAAGTGCGTTGGTGTCGCCAGAGGACGTGCAGCTGGTGTGGGTGATGGACGGAGAGCCCATCGTCATGGGCGACCGTTTCCAGGCGACGCAGAACGGCCTGTGTCACACCCTGGTGATCAAGAACTGTCAGATCCTGGACTCCTCTAAGATCACAGTGGAGGCTGAGGGGAACGAGTCTAAGGCCACCCTCAAAGTACAGGGTGAGTCCACGGCAGACCTGGGTCAAATACATATGGCAAATACTTTCAAATGCACTTGTTTAGGTTGACCTGAGTGTCAGATGGGAGCAGGCAACTCTCACAAGGTTGTTGTTGTAAATGAGAAAGTGTTCTCAGTCAACATTCTTACTTAAATTACTCAAACAAAGCCTAAGGAAGTGGATTACCATACAAATGTGTATTTTTAGTGAACCATTCCTTAAACTGTTTTGTCCTTCCTGTGTTGTCCAGAAGCTCAGGTGATCTTCACTAAGAAGATGGATGCAGTGATGGCTGAGGAGTACGGAGACGCTACCATGGAAACAGAGGTCAGTCTGGACACGGGCGAGGTCCAGTGGATGAGGCAGGGAGTGGTCATCCAGCCAGGACCCCGACACACCCTGGGCCAGAGCGGACGCAAACGCAGCCTGACCATCTGCAACCTCAACCTCTCTGACCGCGGAACCTACCGCTGTGAAACCCTGCACGACCGCACGCAGGTCAAACTCAACGTGGAGCGTAAGGCAATGTCCAAACACGATGCCATACTTACTAATATTAATATGATTTCATCAGTTAGAGTAATGAACCAAAGTATTCAACACTAGGGCATTGTCCTGTTATGCAATAGCTGATAAAACAATAGCTTGAGTCCTGGATTCTATTTGCAACTTCTTTGCCTTTAAATATAGTAGCTGTCAACAACAGCTAAAATGAATGTTGGCCTTCACTATCATGTATGGTGCCGCCAGCCGTCAGACACTAAAATAACTATGGGTAAAGCTCTGTGGGTGAGAGATGGATGATGGTGATGAAGTGTTGGTATGTCATCTTACAATAGTAGCCTATAAACTATAGAGGGATGCTGTGGCAAAAATGGCTCCTGGCTTTAGGTATGTTATCTTTTAACCATCTGTCAATGTCTCTACCTCTACAGCCCGTAAGATCGCCATCCGCAAGGGTCTGCTGGAGACGGAGACGTTTGAGCGGGAGACGGCCTCCTTCGAGGTGGAGCTGTCTCACACTGATGTGGAGGGCATCTGGCAGAAGGACGGCATCCGGGTCAAACCCAGCAACCACTGGCGGGTGAGCTGCAACGGGCTGGTCCACGGCCTCACCCTGTCCAACCTTACCCTGGAGGACACGGGCACCATCGTCTTCTCTGCAGAGGGACTCCGGACCTCTGCCAGGCTCACTGTCAAAGGTGAGGTATCATCATCATCAGCAGCAATCAATCAATTTATAAAGCCCTTTTTATATCAGCAGATGTCACAAATCAAACCGAACCTAAAACCCAAAACAGCAAGCAATGCAGATGTAGAAGCACGGTGTCCAGGAAAAACTCCCTAGAAAGATAGGAACCTAGGAAGAAACCTAGAGAGGAATCAGGCTCTGAGGGGTGTCCTCTTCTGGCAGTGCCGGGTGGAGATTATAAGAGTACATGGCCATTAAGGACAGATCGTTCTTCAAGATGTTCAAACGTTCATAGATTTTTACATTTACATTTACGTCATTTAGCAGACGCTCTTATCCAGAGCAACTTACAAATTGGTGCATCCAACTTATGATAGCCATTTTTTTATGGGGGGGGGGGGGGGGGGGGGGTGGTAGAAGGATTACTTTTATACTATTCCAGGTATTCCTTAAAGAGGTAGGGTTTCAAGTGTCTCCAGAAGGTGGTCAGTGACTCTGCTGTCCTGGCGTCGTGGGGGAGCTTGTTCCACCATTGGGGTGCCAGAGCAGCGAATAGCTTTGACTGGGCTGAGCGGGAACTGTGCTTCCATAGAGTTAGGGGGGCTAGCAGGCCAGAGGTTGATGAACATAGTGCCCTCGTTTGGGTGTAGGGTCTGATCAGAGCCTGAAGGTAAGGAGGTGCTGTTCCCCTCACAGCTCCGTAGGCAAGCACCATGGTCTTGTAGTAGATGCGAGCCTCAACTGGAAGCCAGTGGAGTGTGCGGAGGAGCGGGGTGACATGAGAGAACTTGGGAAGGTTGAACACCAGACGGGCTGCAGCGTTCTGGATAAGTTGTAAGGGTTTAATGGCACAGGCAGGGAGCCCAGCCAACAGCGAGTTGCAGTAATCCAGACGGGAGATGACAAGTGCCTGGATTAGGACCTGTGCCGCTTTCTGTGTAAGGTAGGGTCGTACTCTGCAAATGTTGTAGAGCATGAACCTGCAGGATCGGGTCACCGCTTTGATGTTAGCGGAGAACGACAGGGTGTTGTCCAGGGTCATGCCAAGGTTCATTGCACTCTGGGAGGAGGACACAATGGAGGTGTCAACCGTGATGGCAAGATCATGGAGCGGGCAGTCCTTCCCCGGGAGGAAGAGCAGCTCCGTCTTGTCGAGGTTCAGCTTGAGGTGGTGATCCGACATCCACACTGATATGTCTGCCAGACATGCAGAGATGCGATTCGCCACCTGGTTATCAGAAGGGGGAAAGGAGAAAATGTATTGTGTGTCGTCTGCGTAGCAATGATAGGAGAGACCATGTGAGGATATGACAGAGCCAAGTGACTTGGTGTATAGAGAGAATAGGAGAGGGCCTAGAATTGAGCCCTGGGGGACACCAGTGGTGAGAGCACGTGGTAGGAGCGACCTGTCAGGTAGGACGCAATCCAAGAGTGAGCAGCGCCGGAGATTGACCAGCAGGGTCAAATAATAATCACAGTGGTTGTATAGGGTGCAACAGGTCAGGGCCTCAGGAGTAAATGTCAGTTGGCTTTTCATAGGCGAGCATTCAGAGGTCGAGACAACATGTGTGGTAGAGAGAGAGAGTGGGAGGGAGAGAGGGAGAGGGAGAGGGAGAGAGAGGGTCGAGGGTCGAGAACATCATCATGATTATCCAGTTATACAGGGTCTCTAACTCTGGAGATCTGTGGCTGGATTGGATGTTATAGTATAGAATGTTTCTTAATATTTCTTCCATGTTGTTGTTCTTTCCCAGAGACTCCAGTGACTATCATGAAGAAGCTGGTAGACATGAGACTGGAGCAGGGCTCTCCTGCCACATTGGAGTGTGAGTTGTCCAGACAGAACGTGGAGGTCAGGTGGCTGAAGGTAATAGATATACAACCAATTGTCATATTTGTGTCAGTAGTGTATTACCATGTTATATAGAAATGGGACAGACAGGAAGTAAACAGTTTCGATCTCATTAAATGTGTGTTGTCTATCCCTGAGAATACAGTAATAATGTCTGTCCCCTGTCTTTCGTCTTGACTGTAGAATGGGACAGAGCTGAAGCCAGGGAAGACCCAGTACCGTATTTACTCCATGGGGAGGAAGAGGTTCTGTCAACTGCTGCAGTGTAGCCTCTCTGATGCAGGCACCTACACCTGTGACGTAGGAGACATCAATACATCCTGTAACCTGGAGGTCTATGGTAATATACTGTACACTCTCCTTATCAAAGAACAGTCTTCATTTAAAGTGCATGTAAAACATCTCAGTACTCTCACCAACATTACTCTTCATGGACCTCTAGTGTTCAGTTATAGTGCTACATTTTGACTGGAAGGCTGAAACAGGCCACCACAGCCAACCTTGTACTGTATGCTACTGCCACCTAAAGGTCATGGCTGTCTGACTAATGCTCTTACATTGTTGGCACGGTTACACGTGCACACTGTTACTAGTGTCAATGTTCCTATGTGTTGAACCAATCTTGCAATCTCCCTCCACAGAGCCTGAACTGGAGGTGCTACATGGGCTGGAGGACCTGTATGTCCAGGAGGACCAGAACGCTGTGTTCATGTGTGAAGTGTCCATTGAGGACGTGACTGGAGAGTGGTACAAGGATGGACACAAGATACGACCCACTAGCACCATCAAGATACGCACAGAGGGTTAGTGATACATCAGTCAATCAATCAGTCAATCAATCAATTAATTCATCAATCCATCAAACTTCATGATTGCATTGAAGAATTTGTTCTTAATTGGCCTGCCTGGTAAAGGTAAAATAAAACATATAATAAATAAACATTGAAATTCTGTGCATTCATTGAAAGTTTGTGTTTCTTCCTTCAGGGACCAAACACTTCCTTCTGATGTGCAGCGTTAAAGCTGAGGATTCTGGGAAGATCCGCTTTGTGGCCAAACAGACAGAATCAACAGCCTACCTAGAGGTGGAAGGTAGGGCTTTACCTACCGGGCTGCAGGTCTACCTTACCTATCTCTGTGTGATGTTCCAGCTGATCCAACATCAGTTATTATAAGCAGACAGAAACCCAAACCTCTGTTGTGGGTGACAGAACTCCCTGTGTCCATGATCTGACCTCAAATCAGTTCTCTTCACTGAAATATATTTTCTTATCTTTTCTCACAGAGGCCCCTGTGTCTATCGTGAAGCCTCTGCGAGACCGCACGGCTCTGGAGAAGCACCGCGTGATTCTGGACTGCAACGTGTCCACGCCGCGCTGTGAGGTCACATGGTACAGAGGCAAGGCAGAGCTGGTGTCTTCTGATAGGCTAGAGATCCACAGCGACGGCTGCTACCATAAACTGACCATCCACGAGGCGACTGTAGAGGACGAGGGTACCTATAGTATAGAGGTTGGGGAGCACACGTCCACAGCCCAACTCCTGGTGGAAGGTGAGTGGATGGTGGTTTCTTGTGAAACAAGATGTCTGTATTGACATATTGTTGCTGTTTTTTGGGGCTCTTTCTTTTTTTGACTTACCCCTCTGTCACTTTATTCCTCTCCATCTTTCACCTTACCTTTTCACATTTCTCTCTCACCCTCACACACGTAGAATGATGTTCCTAACCTTTTGTGGAAAAAGTGACCCATCTCTTTTAACCCTCCTTCCCACTCCCCCTCTCTCTCCATCGCCTTGCCTCTCCAGCCCAGTCCCTGTTGATAGAGACAGAGCTGGAGGATGTGGAGGTGACAGCTCCTGACCAGGCCTGTTTCCAGTGTGAGGTGTCCGTGGCCATCAGCAGGCCCCCAGTGTGGACTCTGAATGGGGAGACCATCCAGTCCAGCCCCGAGGTCCGCTTAGAGAACCATGGAACCGTCCACAAACTGACCCTGAAAAAGACCAGACCCGACATGAGCGGGACGGTTACCTTCGCCATGGGAAAGGCCAAGAGCAGAGCCAAACTGAACGTGATGTGGAAGTAGAGGCAAGAAAGGGGGAGAGAATGGGATGTCTGGATTCTGTTATGGTCAGGAATCAAACGTCTGTGACTGTTTTAGGGTTTGAAGGTACTATATAGGAATGCCATCGATCTGAACTAGTAAAGCTGTATGTAATGAGCGAGACAGAAAAGTGGAATGTGATGATGAAATGTGGTACTTAGGCCCCAAACAACTGTTTCAGGATCAGTTTAGATGTTTTACTCATAATGGTTGGGGTTATGAGCAAAGCTTATCTTCAGTCAGTTGTAAAGGGCAGAAAGTAACCTTGGAGAGAAATGTTAAGGGTGGATTCCAGTCAGGTCAAAGGTCAAATCGGTATGCAACACTCTTGGGTGTTTGAAGGTGCTATAATGGTTTATAATGGTGGGTATGAATGCCTGTGTGTATGGATAGAAAGAAATTGTACACGTCTGTTACATTTATTTGGAAAATATATTGGATTGGAAAATAACATTTTAGTTCTATAATTAAGGAAAAATAAACGTTTCTAAAGATGTTGTAATATTTTCCCTATGGTCATTAAATACTGACATCCATAGTTTGAATGAAGGGTTTTATCCAATAAAACTGTAAGCCAATATCTTAGGATAGAGCTTAAAAATATATTGTTACTTCTGAATATGCTTCGATGTCAAATCTAGGCTTTTTGTATTGCTGAGGATAGAGTACCTGAACACAAAAGCACTTGCACTGGTTATTCAATTATGTTGGATTTATGGAAGATATCATAATTAAACAGTTCAATACAATTTGGTATGATAAAAAGACGTGTCACAAACTAAGTTACAGCTATTCAATCATAAGTCACATTAATAACCCATAATATATTAATTTCCTTTTTGTTTGCTTTATTACAGTGCAAAACAAAATATACATATATGTGTATAATATATGCATATATTATTTCATGTGTTTCAATACAGGAAAAAGAGGTACAGTAATAGGTAAAGGTCCCCATGGTGATAGAAAGCTCTCTTTTCCAAAGCACTGTGAATGACTAGGAAATAGCCCCACAGCTGTTGAAAGGGACTTGATCTACGGCGGTTGCAGTAAATATCTCTACTGAGTTTTTATGACAGAAATCATGCCTTGAGATACACAAAACATCCTTTATAATGTGTGTAAATCATATCTAGAGGTCATGTTATCTAGATGTCTGGGGGTGGCTTGTATTTCAAACCAGGATTCGCCCAGTTCCTATTGGGTGTGTGTGTGTACAGTAAAGATGCCAAATCTAAAAAGGTATTTTCTGGTATTCCTTAGCCATTAATGCATTGTTAAAGAGAGCACCTGCAACATTCTGGATTTGTACTACAGTGATTTTTGTTCCTCCTTTGGATAACACTAACAAAAGGCCAACCCACCTGCCAAAGGAAAAAGATGAATAAAAATCAAAAACTGATTTCAAATGTATTTTGTATCGAACTTGATTGACACAGGCACTCTTAATACTGATAGATTGACTGTTATCATGGGTCTACTGGTTATTTAAACTCTGAATCATCTTATTTCACAAGGTATTTTAGTAGGCATTTAGTCAACTCCAACACAGTGTCTTTTCCCCCCATGCATTCATAAAACAGTATCAAACAATATGAATCAATCCATTACAATGCACCTTGTTCTTCCTATTCACTTCCTGATAGACCATCTCTTAGTTTTTAACTTACAAATAACAATTATTGTATTGTTCCAAACCCAGGTAAGTACCGATTAATATAGTCCTACCTTGTATCAAAAGCTTATGAAGTTTAAAAACCAAACTACCCCAACCCTACAGTCTAAAAAGCATAGTATTTGCAGTCCTTTAAAAATATGTCATCAAAAAGGGAAAGTATTCAAGTACTGTTTCCGATAAAACATTTAGGAGGGAGAAGTGTGCTTGTCAAAACCAGATCGCCAACACATACACACGCACCTTTCCTCCATGGTAGGGCTGGGCGTTATAACCAAAATATAATGTATTTATTTTTTCTAAATATGTTTTATGAATAGTGCATGACCCTAGAATGGCAACAAATGAATTCTTAGTGATTTTAATGGGCTTTCTCCATTCTAATGGTTATATACTCAACCAAACTAGGACAAAACTGACAGTGAAGTAGTCCAATTTGTAGAACCTTTCATTTAATATAGCACTGTATCAAAACACTGTTATAGACGGTATTGTAAAAATCCATATCAGTATGTGGATCCATATCGGTATTCACAATATAAATCACCCAGCCCTCCTCCATGGATGTAGCATTGTTACGACAGCAAAGGGACAACCAACAGTTTGCTTGGACTAAATTCAAATTTGTTTTTCCAATACCACTGATATAAATACATTGAAACAGTATATCCAGGTCCTCTTGCAGAATACCAATGGTTTTCCATGTCATTGACTGGTACTGGCAGTGTGTCCACGTGTCGGAGCTGGAACATTTAGTCTGTCTGGGTTGAGGTCCATAGTCCGGAGACATTGTAATCCGAAAAATCCTAAAAGATTATATTGTAATTTAAGGTGCAGTTCAGTCATCCCACTACGGTCTTTGTTATGAAACGAGTCCATTACCCCGTTTAAATGTTATCTGGCACATTATCGCACATATTCCTATGGTTTTAATAAAAAACTAAATTAAACAAACAAATATGATTAGGGGACATGGAACGTTTTCATAGATGCAGTAACTGGGTAATGTCATTCTCGATGATTCTGTCCCCCTTAACAAGTATTGTCATTATGATACTAGCTGAGCGATGTAAGAAGTAAAACCTATTGACTTACACAAAGCCAATGCTTTGCCTATTAAAAACATTATGTTAAATTGTCTCTGAGGAAATAAGTGAATAAAATTAAAAACAAGTGTTAAAAGTAGTAAATATCCATTCATACAGCTATCATTTACTTTTCCATACAGAATTCCAGAACTGTTCGGTCTTCCTGAAACTTGAAGTCATTGACTCCAACCCCACGTTGTAGAACTGATTCTGATTGGATCCTGGGGGTTCCGCTACCCTTACCTTCCTGCTACATGTATTTTCTTCATTCTGAAGAACGCTGTAGATTCCCTCTACTTGACTGTCCTGTAAGTTCCAATGAGATTTGATGAAAGGCACTGTATAAAAACTTAACTCATTATAACCCACAACATCAATCTACACAAGCCCATCTGTGGTTGAGGGATGGTAGATCGTGTTTTGGAGGGTCAAGTCCTCAGTTTTCCCTATAGAGGGCAGTACTAGCGTGGTTCTGGAAGGTTGAAGAAGAGGGTTGGGCTGGGAGGTGAAGAGGCTTGTGGTTGATGTGGTGGACGGTTGGCTGAGGGGGGTGTAAGGTTGGTGTGAAGACGCTTTAAGCCTGCGGTTCTCTGTCTGTCCTGTAGATGGCGGTAGAAGAGGGGTAGGGTGACTGACAGCACTGCTAGCTGGAGTCCCTCTGTTGCCTGAGCACTGTGTAGACGTCCTCCACTTTACTGAGCCCCTCAAAGAAGGGGATTAGATCCAGCAGCTCTGTGTCGGCCATGTCATCGAACCACGACGCCACAGGCACCTGCAGACACACACAGAAGGGAACGAGTCAGACATGCATGTAGTTACAATGAGCTAGATACAAAGGAGAGGCACCAGAGTCGGTCATACAGCTAGTTACAACGAGAGCCAGACTCTGGTTCCAATGAACTACAGTGAGCTAGTTAGAATGCAGAGCTATAGAGGCAGTTAATGGCACTTTCCTTCAAGTGGTACGAAGTCATGCTTCTACCTGGTATATATTATAAATGATTCATAAAAAGGTTTATAGACTTATATTATTTGTTTATAGATAGTAATAATACTTTAATTGTAAAGCGTTTTCACATAACTAAAGTTCAATAAAGCCAGCCAGCCAACATCTGCCATCTTTTTTTTTTTAAAGTAATGGATGATGAAAGAGGAGGAGGAAGAAGAGGAGGAAGAGGAAGAGAGCTGTTCTTACAGCGTTGTCTGGGTGGAAGACGTAGGAGGCTGGGGAGTTGTCTATGATGATGACCTTGTTCAGGTCCCTGCCCAGACGACTCAGGTCCTTTACGTAGTTCCCCCGGTGGAACACACACGACTCACGGAACAGACGGCCGCGGAACGCACCCCACTTATCCAGCAGGTCTGACACTGGGTCAGCATACTGGAGGAACACACATAGGGTTGTCCGTATCAGATGAGGAAAACATGTTACATTTGTGATTTCCTGTGTTTTGCAGCTTTTGACCAGCCTTTAAAAGGTCCAATGCAGACGTTTTTATCTCAATATCAAATCATTTCTGGGTAACAATTAAGTACCTTACTATAATTGTTTTCAATTAAAAATGGTCAAAATGAAACAAATAGTAAAGGGCAATTTCTCAAGCAGGACTCTTTGGGAGTGGTCTGATTGGGGAGGGGAAAACTGAAAGCTAGCTGTTATTGGCAGTGAGGTTTGGAACTCTCTTATTGGTCCATTAACTAATGTACTGCTTGGCCATGTCACCAGGCAGGCCAAAACTCCATCCCACCAAAACAGACAAAAGTTTTAGGCAGTCTTTTCAAAACAGCTCTTACACTAAAAGGGCATCATTCATAATTTTCACAATATTATTCCAACCACACAGTGTGGAAATATATATAAAACACAGTAAAATCACGTTGACGGCACTGGGCCTTTTAAAACAAACGTATTTTGATTTGATTGAGTAATTTGCTGGTTTGACATGGTGTTGTCCTCACCTTAGCCAGGCTAGCTGTGAACAGAATACATTCAAACAGCTCTCCCATCCTCTTAAGGAACTCATCCACGTGAGGTCGCTTCAACACATATACCTGGATGGATACAATGTTTGGTAAGTTTCAAGTCTAAACAAATAACCAAATACATTTTGCTTCCCCCTCTTGTTCATTCCAAAAGATAAACATCCCCCCACTCAGATGCATTGAGCAGTCTTTCACTTCTTCTTCTTCTTCTTCTGCTGCTGAGGGTCATAGTCCTGAACCAAGTCATGCAGAATAGGCTTTACCTTTCTGAACAAACCTATCCTGGATTACTTGAATCAGGCCCAGGCCCAAGATACACTGTTGGCTCCAACTTCAGAACCATGTAGGAGGTGACAGTCTCTCACCATGACTTCAACGTTCCCTTTGTGGTAGAAAACCCAAGGCCTCAGATGCCATGGTAACCCAGCCCACAACCTGCCCTGGGGAAAGTGGCTACTGGCTGGGTAGTGGGTAACATACAGATATACAGTATTGTAGAGAGCCATAAAATACCTTGACAATACCAACGGATTTAACATGGAAAGGTAGAGGCCGATGGCATTTGTCTGTGAAAATGTATTTCAATCAATTTCATGGTCTGTGATAGTTCAGCTCATCTCCATGCTTAGTGATAGGCTCACCTGATGAACAGTTCCATCAATCTCTACCGGAATGATAAAATCTGCGTTGTTCACCGGCTGTGGGAATAATAAAGATACATTATTTTGAACCAAACCACTTTAAAGACTCATGAAACACGTTGAGGGCAACCGTGTGTATTTAGAATATTTAGAATAAAGAACCAGTTAGTCTCGAGTGTGAAAGTGGCAACAATGACAGATGTCATGAAAAATGACAAATGTATGCACTCACTAACTGTAAGTTGCTCTGGATAAGAGCGTCTGCTAAGTGACTCAAATGTAAGATGTAATGTCATTGTGACTGCCAACAATAATACTGTGGAGAAACGAATCTCTTTCCTCACTCTCAGAGTGTTTCTCATTACAATTGGACATTACTGCCTGGTGATGTCATGCTTTCACAAGAGGGGAAAAATCTCCTTCCATAACAAGAAAACATGAGATGCAAAAAGGCACACAAAAACATTTGTGTCCATAGCATTTGCGAGGATAGGAACATTTTTAAGAAAAGCGAAATGCAAAATGTTACGTTACAGCAATCGTATCAAAGTTCACCAATAGCTTTAGAGCTCATGGATGATGGGAAAATGCATCTATGTGACTATATAATACTACTACTGTAAACGGTGCGGCGGTATATTCCTGGTCTTACCTTGAATGAGCTGTGGACCAGTGTTTCATCCAGGTCTATGACAACACAGATCTTCCCTGCGTCTTTTGACTTGGCCTGAGGCAGCAGCGGTCTGACTTGGACCTGAACCCCACACACATAATTAACATACACAAACTAACATTTGTCATGATACATGTAAAATACAAACTACACTGTGACATAGACCTAAAAAAAACACCAACATCAAGTCGAGTCCTAGTTTGTAACATTTACCATGACGTCATAAATACACAAACAGCATTTACCTGGACCTACACAAACACAGCACGTACAAACTAGACCACAGCATTTACCTGGACCTACACAAACACTGCACGTACAAACTAGACCACAGCATTTACCTGGACCTACACAAACACTGCACGTACAAACTAGACCACAGCATTTACCTGGACCTACACAAACACTGCACGTACAAACTAGACCACAGCATTTACCTGGACCTACACACAACACTGCATTACCTGGACCTACAAAACTGACGACAACTAGACCAAGCATTTACCTGGACCTACACAAACACTGCACGCACAAACTAGACCACAGCATTTACCTGGACCTACACAAACACTGCACGTTCAAACTAGACCACAGCATTTACCTGGACCTACACAAACACTGCACGTACAAACTAGACCACAGCATTTACCTGGACCTACACAAACACTGCACATACAAACTAGACCACAGCATTAACCTGGAACTATGCAAACCATAAACATACAGTATAAACCATCCCTGGACCATTAAAGAGAGGAGTGGTACGTACCTTGGAGACAGTCCCGTTCTCCTCCACCAGCAGCGGGGCGTTGTTGTTGACCGGCGGGGGCTCAGCCTCATCATGACACAGGCAGCAGAAGAGGCTGTGGAACAGGCCTCGACTCCTGGGCTTCGTAGACGACAAGGGTGGGGGACCTGGAAGAAGAAAGAAAAAAGGGGCCACCCAGCCGTCAGTCAGACAGTCTTCCAGCATCTATTTACTCTCATTTCTCCCTGGTTCATGCACCGAGTTAACTTGAGACACGTGCATGCTGTAGTTTGAACTCTTGCGTAACTTGTGGGGTTATGTCGATTGAATGTATGCCTGGAAATTCCTGTAGCCCGAGTTGGGATTTGTCCAGATGCGAACAACCTATTTATGTAGATATACTGTATGCCCAAAGAATAAGTCGCTCTGGATAAGAGCGTCTGCTAAATGACTAAAATGTAATGTAAATGAATAATGTAGGTGAAGTAATGGTTGTTTTTCAAGTTCATTCCTGCATAATTTATTTCATGTATAGCATCTTTAGTCTTTGACCTCATTTCTGTCATTTCGCTTCAACCTGATGCCCTTTCCCCAATGGTTTGAAATGAAAACTATTAACAGATCAAATAGACTTTGCTTAGTTATTAGTTATGAGAGGAATGTCCTTGAGGCGAGATACATTATTGTGCAGCTTTAATATTTCAATGAGGAATATGCAAACATAGCTAAGAAAGTAATGAGGGACATGTCACTTTAAAAATCAGTGACAGTTTGAGTAGCCACTTAAATCAATGTATTATAATGTTGAATCTCTATTCCTAACCATTGTCTGACTATGACTGCCAGTCTTGGATTAAAACATTTTCTTAAGACTAAACTGACTTTACTTTTTTGTTTAATATAACAAAGCTCTAGGTTTTCACTACTCGCTCTCTGCAAACTTCTGCCCAATCAGAAAAGGGACAAATGTTTTCCTTAAACTTTCCTCCCTTTTATTCCCTGTCTTTCTCTCACTCGCAACGTGACCGTGTTACAAACTCTTTCACTCTCCCCCCTTTCTCTGGCCCGTTCCAGACCTGTGACCCTCCTCTGCCCACTGCCACGTCCAGGCCAAACCAAAACAGGAAGGGGAAATGCGGGGGAATATCAGAGGGGGAAACATTGAGTCAGCCCACCACCACCACCAACGCGGCAGGATCAGATGACACACAACAAGACAGGTACAGAGAGCAGAGACAGGCCTGGGAATAGGGCCTCAGCATGGATACGTCTAATCCATTACCTCTATCCTTTAAAGCTACAATACGTAACGTTTTGGGCGACCACATTCATAGAAATGTGTGTTATAAATCTGTCACTCTCATTGAAAGCAAGTCTAAGAAGAGGTAGATCTGTTCTATGTGTGCTATTTCTATGCTTCCCGTTCTTAAGTTGTGTTTTTGCATCTTAATTTCGGTTTTATACACCAGCTTCAAACAGCTGAAAATACAATATTTTTGGTTATGGAAAATATATTTCACAACGGTTTAGATGGTACAATGATTCCCTACACTATACGTGCTTGTTGTGTCACATAAACTGAAATTAGGCAAACTGTTAGAATTTTGGCAACCAGGAAACGGTGGAGCGATTTCTGCGTAGTGTATCTTCAAGAGAGGGGCCCAATTCCAAACCAGTACCTCAGTATGAACATAAGATTCAACAACAGACATAAACTGAACAAGTTCCACAGACATGTGACTAACAGAAATTGAATAATGTGTCCCTGAACAAAGGGGGGGGGGGGTCAAAATCAAAAGTAACCTGCTGCATTAAGTACTGCAGTGCATCTCCTCCTCATGGACTGCACCAGATTTGCCAGTTCTTGCTGTGAGAGGTTACCCCACTCTTCCACCAAGGCACCTGCAAGTTTCCGGACATTTCTGGGGGGGAATGGCCCTAGCCCTCACCCTCCAATCCAACAGGTCCCAGACGTGCTCAATGGGATTGAGATCCGGCCTCTTCGCTGGCCATGGCAGAACACTGACATTCCTGTCTTGCAGGAAATCACGCACAGAACGAGCAGTATGGCTGGTGGCATTGTCATGCTGGAGGGTCATGTCAGGATGAGCCTGCAGGAAGGGTACCACATGAGGGAGGAGGATGTCTTCCCTGTAACGCACAGCATTGAGATTGCCTACAATGACAACAAGCTCAGTCCGATGATGCTGTGACACAACGCCCTAGACCATGACGGACCCTCCACCTCCAAAATCGATCCCGCTCCAGAGTACAGGACTTGGTGTAATGCTCATTCCTTCAACGATAAACGCAAATCCGACCATCACCCCTGGTGAGACAAAACCATGACTCGTCAGTGAAGAGCACTTTTTGTCAGTCCTGTCTGATCCAGCGACGGTGGGTTTGTGCCCATAGGTGACGTTGTTGCCGGTGATGTCTGGTGAGGACCTGTCTTACAACAGGCCTACAAGCCCTCAGTCCAGCCTCTCTCAGCCTATTGCGGACAGTCTGAGCACTGATGGAGGGATTGTGCGTTCCTGGTGTAAGTCGGGCAGTTGTTGTTGCCATCCTGTACCTGTCCCGCAGGTGTGATGTTCAGATGTACCGATCCTGTGCAGGTGTTGTTACACGTGGTCTGCCACTGCGAGGATGATCAGCTGTCCGTCCTGTCTCCCTGTAGCGCTGTCTTAGGCGTCTCACAGTACGGACATTGCAATTTATTGCCCTGGCCACATCTGCAGTCCTCATGACTCCTTGCAGCATGCCTAAGGCACATTCACGCAGATAAGCAGGGACCCTGGGCATCTTTCTTTTGGTGTTTTTCAGAGTCAGTAGAAAGGCCTCTTTAGTGTCCTAAGTTTTCATAACTGTGACCTTAATTGCCTACCGTTTGTAAGCTGTTAGTGTCTTAACAACTGTTCCACAGGTGCATGTTCATTAATTGTTTATGGTTCATTGAACAAGCATGGGAAACAGTGCTTAAACCCTTTACAATGAAGATCTGTGAAGTTATTTGGATTTTTATGAATGATCTTTGAAAGACAGGGTCCTGAAAAAGGGACGTTTCTTTTTTTGCTGAGTTTAGATCCATTTAAAAGTGTGTCTCTGAATATAGGGGAAACACTGCAACATAAACCCTTCTCTGAGAATGGCTGTATAGTAATGTGTTATCAAAACATCAAGCAAATAGAGGAGATCATACCAGGAAGTAAAACTACAGTCTACCTGGTACGATTACATCACACACTAATTACGGTCACTCATGTCCAGTTGCTACTTGGTGCCACCTCACACCTTGCCCTCAAACTTGCTTGACACATCATCTCCAGACTTCTCTGAGGTCTACCACTGAGACACAGCCACCACTCCGACAACGTTGTAACCAAGTCGTGGAGAACAAACTAACATGGCATTTCTCATATAGCCTATGGCGGTAGTTTAACTGCGCCATCCAGAGAGTTTTATGTTGCCAATGAGGAAGTACAAGGTGCGTGGGCAGGCCTTAATCTCTGTTTTGAATGGGTCATTATAATGTGGATACTAGGGTAGGCTATTGAAGCGGCACAGTCCTCTTGTGGCAACTGCTGATTGCATAACAGCGGAAAGCTTTTCAAGAACGCACCACCCCTAAAACATGTTAGCCAGTCTTCTAGAACAAGGGTTAATGTAATACACAGCTACGTTTTAAATGTTAAAACTCTCAACAAGTTATTTCAGAAGAGTTCCATTTTTTATGAAAAAGACTATGACAGACAGCAACTGCAGCCTCGTCAATTAATTGTAGGTTACGTGATTTGATTGAGTGGGCTAGTTCGTCCTCACTGCAGTAACCTTGCCTGTCAAAAAGTTGCGTCGCTTATCACAACACTGTTGCCATTTGATGCTTAGTTGTTGCAATTCATTGTGGTCACACGATGGTAGCAGGCGATTGCAGATTTGATACAGTTTCGTTTCGGTTCCTAAACACTGTCCTCGTCTTTGCAAACAACACCCAATGGAGGACGAACTAGGCTAGCTAACTGTGAAAAGTTTTGAGTGTGGTGCAAAACAACTGTGACGTGCATCTTGAGAACTTTCTCCAAAACTTACCCTTCTCTCTAATCGCCTCTTCATCGCGACTAACTTGCGTGATTATTGAGGACTGGGGGTCCATTACACCAGACTTTATCCACAACAGAAACTAAACCGTTTGTGCCGTTTTAGATTGTTCGCTGACTAGGAACATTAAATTATAAATGTGCACAAAGTTACATAACCGCAAACACTATTTAAATACATTACGCATCCAAACGATTACATTTCTTGGCTATTCAATGAAGTACCAGATCGGTATAAAAGCTACAAATAAAAGTTATATACATTTAAAAGACAGTTGGTAACTTTGTTTCAACATGGAGTTCAACTCCGCTCTCAATTTCAAGATACAAACATGGAACTCGGCGGTTTCAAGGCTTCCCATTCCTTTTAAAGTGGCACACAACTGTATGATTGTGCACCGAGAGTGGTAGTCCACTTTTGCAAGAGCACTCGACAGACTACGACGGTCCCTTGAACCACAAGTTACAGGCCTATTGTAATTCTGAGTTCATAACATCTTGTAATTTCGTAAATACCAGGATATGACTGGGAGAATCCAATTTAACGCCCCTCCAACTGGTAATACTAGGGGAAACTCGTCTATCATCCCTGTGCTCCGAGTTTCCCACTTGCACCCCTCTCTGACGTAGTTTGTTAACAAAAAAGACAGCAAGCATGGCGGCATTTTCAGTAGTTGTTACTTATGGTAAGAACAAAATACAAATTGTTGATACAAAATTGATTCTGTTCATCTTTTTTTATTTAGAAAGTGAAAGCAGCTCTGGCAGACTTTTTATGGGCAAAAAATACCAAAACAATCACAAGCCATAATTAATGACCTCAATATTTTGGCGGTATTTCCCAGTTCGAAACTTGAACGCACGCAACTAGTATTTACGACTTCACAACTGGTAATTACCACCTTCCCACTTGTGTATGAACGCATCATAAGTAACAAGGAAACAAAGATCAATTTTCAAAATGGAACTTGAAACATTTTAATGACAGAGAACAAGCTGTCCACAAGCTGTTAATAGTTTTAAAACACTACGCCGCATTCTACTTCTACCTCGGCAATAATCCTCCTCGCTGACTTCCATGTTCGTCATAGCCTACACTTTTGATTACGTTTGTAGCTTGATTGACAGAAAGTATTTAATATTTCATGCAAATAAATGTGATTTATATTCTCCTCTCTCGCACACTTGAAATTATATTCGCCCCTTGCGAATGTTTACAATTTAGAGTAGTAGAGTACTACTGTACTCTTCTGTACAACTTTTTATATTCGCAAAGGAACGCCCAGTTAGGGAACCCTTGAAACTGACTGACGAGGGGAAAAGGATAGGGAATGTCGTTCAAGTGCATGCACTGTCGAAACAACCGCTTTAGTTCAATTTAAAGGGAAGAATAATGAGAATGTGTGTTTTGCAATTGTATCAATAGTTTATTACAGACTATTTCATAAAAACATTTTAAACCATTTCCACATTATAAACACTGCAAATGAAAACATTTACAAATCTTCAACCATCCAAATTCATACAAAACAAAAGTAATACACAAGAGTTTCTGTATACCAAAAATGACTTTCTGTATATTGTCTTCATGGCACCTATGTCCATTTTGTACAGTAAGCCTACTGGTGGACAAAAGTGCCCCAAAATCATATGATATGAATAGTTCAATAAATTAACAGAACACACATTGCGCATAATCTGTGAGTAAGCCATGAGGACAAACCATTTACATGATAAAGTTTGTCAATTGACCCATTATAGGCAGAATTGAGTCACTAACTGACTGGTGGACAAGCTGAGAGCAACCTGATCAATCAACAGTAGATGGCTAGTCCAGCCATTGGTGCAGTGATGACATTGATGAGGTGTGACAAATCCAATAGAGGACTATATAATCTACATAATCAAAGTCTGCCCGTTTTCAACAATGAAGTCGCACTATTGTTTAGCTTCAGCATCAACCACAGGACATCTGGTTGCGCCACTGACTACTAAGATACTCTACTATATCCACAGGTTCATTATCTGTATCTATGAACAGTATAATTACAATGGTGAGCAATATTTTTGCACTGTTTTCATTGTATTTAGAAAATCACTCAAAAGAAGAAGGAAAAAAAGCACACATGCAAATAAATTAACATGAAAAAGGTAAACAGGTCACATACAATTTCATGAACAAAAACTTTTTTCTTTTTGGTTTTGCATTTTTGAAATGTGTAAATAAATGCAACATAAATTAGCAGCATAAATGATGGTACATTCACATAATCACCACCAAATATAAGGACGCAGAAATAAGGCTGTGCTCTAAAATCAAACTGACAAAAATGTGTGTTCCAGGTTAATTTTATTGACTGAATTTTCCAAACCAAATGTCCTGTTTTATATATTTAAAAGTTTTACCCACATTGCGATAGCAAGCTCAGAGAAGTACTAGCAGACAGTAGACTTGAAACAGAAACAAATCGTGCCAGGTCAAAAAACAAACGATAACTCAATATTTTGAAACCGTGCTGTCCAACAATCCAACAACTGGATTCATATCTCAGTTGATGAACTGTCCAAGTGGTTCACCATCCCTTGAGATTCATTCTGTTAGGTCTCAGTAGAATGAGACTCCATGCAGTCTGTGGGCTGGTGCAATGCTCTTGGCTCTAGTCTCCACTCCCATACCTTACCCAGGCATGGCCTCACTCTGTGGGGGATGAGGACTCAGAGTCCTCCCTCTATCATGGAGCCCACTGTTGGGCACCACACATCCCCCTTACCTCTAGTTAACACTGATATAAGTCATAGGCCTTCACTTAGGTAGGTTTGGTGTGGTGGATGTGTTTGGAGAAGCTGAGCTGGAGTAGGAGCGCAGGAGGACCCTGTGTTTGGTGGCGACCTCGGTGCGACGTCGATGGTGCTCCCCCAGGAACTCCTTCAGCTTGGTGGTGGTGAAGGTGAGTGTCTGTCTCCTCAGCTTCATCAGGTACGAGTCCTGCAGCCATGCGTGGGTGAAACAGTCCTTGATGCTTGGACGGGCCCTGCATGGCAATAAAACACATTGTCCAATCAGTGATCAGAACACAGGAGTCCAGGGCCCGTATTCATAAATCGTCTCAAAGTAGGAGTATCGATCTAGGATCATGACCCCACTTTCCATGTAATCTTATTCATTATGATCTAAAAGGCGAAACTGATCCTCGATCATCACTCCTACTCTGAGACACTTTATTAACTGGGGCTGGTTTGTCAAATAAGATAATGATGTAGCTACTCTTTGAAGCCCTCACCAGGCATAGCTACTCAGCATCTTCTTGAGGAACATCGAGGCACTTTGGGACACGTTGGGGTAGAGCTTGGTCGGGTCAAACTTGGCCATCTGAATTTTGGTCTCAGTCTGGTGTGGGTCTTTGTCCTGAAAGGGAAGCCTACCGCTAAGCCTGAACAAAAAATGGCATAGACAATGAGAGTTCAGAAGAAGAAAAAATCACACAACTTCTAAGACTTATGACAATAGTAACTATGAAATGAGTAAGTTGTATCTTTACATGACGTAGGTTAGAACCCCGAGGCTCCAGATGTCAGCTGGAGGGCCGACCACATCACCTTTCACCATCTCCGGAGCTTTTCAGCAAAGAAAGACCAGAGAGAGAGAGAGTTCAGAGGAAAGTAGTGATCAAGGTGAGTATAACAGCTTATTACCCAAGCAGTACTTGGCGGATACCAATTCCAAATACCAGTGGTAAATTCAATAAAGTGTTACCAACTCACACATATACTCCAGTGTGCCCAGGCTGCTGTTGTATTGTTTGAGGGAGAGAGGGTTGAAGTTCTGAGCGCTGCCAAAGTCTACGATCTTGACGACGTTGAGGTTGGTGACCATGACGTTGTCAGGCTTGATGTCCAGATGGAGGATGCGTCTGTTGTGGAGGTACTCCAACCCCTGAAGTATCTGGACCAGGTAGCACACCACGTCATCCTCAGAGTAACGGAACCTTAGCAGGAAAAACATACAACAGAAATGTTTGAAATAGATTTATTCCACAGATATATTGTAGAGCACAGCTGAGCGCAGTGTGCAACTCTGTGTGTGTATGTGTGTGTGTGTACGTGTGTGTGTGTGTGTGTGTGTGTGTGTGAGCGTCATGCTCCACACACCTGTCTATAAGGCTGTGCAGCAGCTCCTTGCCAGTGCAGTACTCAGCCACCAGTACCAGGTAACGTGGGGTGACGTAGGCCTCATGGAGGGTCATGACCTTGTCATTGTGGAGAGACTTGAGGATCTCATACTCCTGCAGGATGGACTTCTTAGTCTCCTGGTCGTACGGAATGATCTTAGCCATGAAGATGTATCCTGTGGCGTTCTCCCGACACTCCCGGACCACACCGAACCGCCCTCTGTCCAGAGAGAGATAACACGGTAGTTTAGTTACCAAATAATGTGTGGTTAAACATGAAGCCAGTTTCCCTGACCTAGAATAACCCTATAAGTAGTACCAGTAGTAGCAACAGCAATACTGTGTAGTGTAATAATGTACTACTGTAGCTGTAGAAATATTGAGCACATCTCTAACGTCTCAGTCACCTGGCTTTCTCATCCAGGAAGGTGTAGGGCTTCTGTGGGACTCCCTGTCGTAGAGCGGTCTCACCCGGCTTGGGTGTGGTGCGGCCCGTGGGGGTCCCTCGAACAGGGGTGCCCCTCCCCTCCCCTATGGGGCTCAGACTGCTGACCTGGAGCACTTGGGGGGAGAAGGAGGGGGCCGGGAGGGGGGTGGGGACCACACGGGCAGTGGCGGCAGGGGAGTAGGTAGGAACGGATGCCATGACGGGCTTGGTGGGGGTGGAAGGAGGGGTGACAAGAGGGGGAGGGGGCGAGATGGGCAGGGTTTGGGTCATGGGGGGGACCACGTTGACAGGACTCTGGGGTTTGGGGAGGACGAAGGGAGGGGTTTTGACTACAGGCAGGGAGGGGAGAGTTGGAGGGGTGGCAGGGGTGACCGTCAGGGGTTCAGTTGGAGGGGTTGTGGTGGCAGGGCTGGAGGGGGCCGAATGTGTAGAGGGAGAGAGAGCTGCGGTGGGAGCAGGGAAGGGTGCAGGGGAGGTTAGAGAGGTCTGTGTAAGGGAGGGTGAAGAGGGAGAGACAGTGGACACAGTTTTACTGGGAGGTTGCGTTACTACTGGTTTGACCTTTGGGATAACAGTCACTAAGGTGGTAGCCGATGGGGCAGGGTGGAAGGGAGGTGAGGGGATGGTCTTCACAATGGCCACCGCAGGAGAGGATACGCCTACTGCAAAGCAAACAAATCTCTCTTCAATATCAGATTATCAGAACCATTTTGTGAAACAAATATGCAACAATACAGAAAAAACAGCAGAACTTTCTTTACCACCTCTTTTGACCCAATTTAACACAATTTGCTGAATTTTAACCCCCTGTCCAAAAGGTGTGTTTCAGCACCTGTTGAGTCCAGGCTGACTTTGTCCGATGTGTTGCTGTAAGGTCCCTGTCCAGCCTTGTTGACGCAGGCCACTCTGAACCTAAAGGTGCCCCCCGGTGGCAGGTCTGTGACGTTGTAGTAACAGTCAGCTACACCGGTCGCTATGATCAGCCAGTTTGCATCACCTAAAAGGAGAAAGAAAATCATGCTTAATTTATATGAGTGCCAATTGGGTTATGTTATATCAATATGGTCAAATACCCCTCAATCGTATTCACAAAATTATATGCATCACTTAGACTTTACACACCACTGTCATTTGTTGCAGTACTTCTAATTCACACAAGGTGGCGATAGTGTTTAATGTTGATGACAGAACGGATGAAGGTTATGTAGGCGGTTTGTTTATAATATCAGTTGTACACGAAGGTGATGTGGAGCCATAATGATCTGTCATAGTCACAACTGATACAGAGGAATAACCGAAGGACATCCGCATGGTAATGAGGATATAGTGAGGCACAATCCAATGAACAAACACAGAGAAAAACAATCATCCAAAGCCGAGCCTGGCAGTAACTGTGTGGTAATACAAGGCATGAAGCCATCGAATTCAATCATTCCTGAAATCATATTAACATTCATGTTATTCACACTTTGATACAATCCTAATGATCTAGGCTCTACAATGATTCACCGTATTATGAGACCATAATGACTTATAAAGCGTGATGAAATAGGGCCCAATTGTGGTCTATATGGCCAGTTTGTACTGTGACTATTTGCCCAGTGTTTGAGTTATTCACTGCACAGTAGCCTACGTCACTGTTTAAAGTGACAGCCAAAGGTGTTTCCTATCCAACCGTCAATAAGGATAATACATCTGGGTGAAGCGGGCTGTAAAATAAACAAAATATTAATATTCGGCTTGAGTTTATAGAGATGACTAGCCTGGAATCCAGATGGATATTCTCAGTGTCAATCGTGACACAGAGCACATCAGTTTGGACTCCAGGCAAGGAGATGAATGTCAACCCACCTTCTGTCTTCCTCTCTAGAGAGTAGCTACAGGGGGGCTTGGTGTCGGCTGGTTTCCATAGCACCAGGGCTGTGTTGTTGTATGTCTGGGGAACCTCCGGCGTGCCTGGCCTTTTGGGGACACCTGGAGGGGGTGACAGGGGAGGAGGGTGGGGGGTGGAGGGGATGGGAGATGAAGGTGGGGGTAGAGGGGAGATGAAGATATGTAGAGGGAGATGAAGAAGGGGTAGAGGGGAGAATAAGATATGGTAGAGGGGAGATGAAAATGGGGTAGAGGGGAGATGAAGGTGGGGTGGAGGGGAGATGAAGGTGGGGTGGAGGGGAGATGAATTGGGTGTTGAGGGGAGATGAAGATTACGAAGGGGTAGAGGGGAGATGAAAATGGGGTACTCGTGGATATGAAGTTGGGGTGGAGGGGCGGGGTAGGGGAGATGAAGGTGGGGTGGAGGGAGATGAAGGGGGTTAGAGGGAGATGGGGAAGGGGTGGGTGGGGGGAGTGAGTGGGGTGGGGGGTGGGGGAGTGGGGGTGGTGAGGGGAGAGTGATGGGGTGGGGGGGATGGGTTGGGTGGGGGTGAGGGGTGGGGGGTGCGGTGGGGTTGTGGGGGCATGAAGGTGGTGGTGGAGGGGAGATGAAGGTGGGGTGGAGGGGAAATGAAGTTGGGGTGGAGGGGTGATGAAGTAGGGTGGACGGGAGCATGAAGTTGGGGTGGGGGGGATGAGGTTGGTGGTGGGGGGGTGGGAATGTTTTGTGGGTGGAGGAGAGTGTGCAGGTGGGGTGCGAGGTGAGGTTGGGATGTAGGTTTGGGTGGGTTCGGGGATGATTTGAGGGTTGAGGTGCGAGTGGTGAGAGAGATGAAGTTGATGGGTGGGGTGAACAAAGAGGTAGGTGTGAGGGCGCATGAATTTGATGGGGATGGGGTGAACAGAGGGGGAGGTTTGGGGAAGGGGAGCGTTTTGATGGGGTGGGGTGTCACAGAGGGGGAGGATGGAGAGAGTAGGTGGAAAGAGGAGAAACCGTGGAGGACACAGAGATGGGTTTGATAATTTTCTTAACTCAAACCATACACAACACTAGAAGCTTTTCACCCTGATATCATGATGCATTTGAATGAAGGAGGCCTACAGCTGAGACTGATCTAGTCAAGGCCTCAGACAAGATGAGCAGTCTGGGGAATCTCTCACCCAACAGATTGATGATAAATGGAGACAGATAGCATCAGCAGACGGGATTAGTAATGCAGACGCCCAGACAGTGTTGCCAGAGCAATTCAATTTGAAGCTGTGAAAATCTAACTGAAATGTAGCACGTTGAGTCTGACACCTGAAAAAGAGCGAGAGGCCATCAAGTGTCTGGAAAGCCACCTTGTTCTGTCGTTTTGCTGAAGGGTATTTGACATTTTTATTGATATTGTTATTTATAGCCTGTTGTCTGGACAAGAACCTACAGATGCCAAATCTTAATTTGATCATCCTGTTGTTGCAGGAATTTAAAAAAAGGCTTCTAATGTTTATAATTTACACTTTAAAATGTCAGACTTTTTTTGTCTTAACGAAAAATTTATCAACCCCTACAATTTTTTAAAATTAATTATCATTCACATAATAATTCACATTTCCTGTTGCTGCAGGATTATTTTACTGCAGTGAGAAACTGGGTCAAATTAAGATCCGGAATCTGTAGTAGCTAGATGGACTGTGAGTGACAGTTGATTATTTGATTCTGACACATCAGATTACTACCTGGGAATGACATCTTTTCATTTGTAATAAGCAGCACTCTCCTCTTGGAATGATTATAAAGAGGTTGTAAATTCAAGGCAAAAAGCCATTAGTTTAATCAGCCGTATACTACATTAATATTTATGCCCATGCCATTAATATGCATTGCATTCACACTCAAATACAAATCCTATTACCTAAAACCTTTCAAGGTTCATCACATCGTAAAGATGAATAATACATGTTTTTGCTTAGAATGAAAGGCAAATACCCCTTTCTCGATTCAGTGTAAATGCCATGTTTACACTAAAGGTTGTGTATGCAATGCGAATGCAACAGATTTTACAGGTCCAGGATATTAGAATATCACATGAAGATAACGGCTTCAAAAACTGGTATTTTCCTGTTTCTCCACAAATCTTAATGACAGGATAATCATTGAAAATAACATTTTCTTGTAGGTAACGTGTTACTCACAGGCCAGGGACAGTGTGCAGGAGCTGGTGACGCTGGCTAATGGGTTATTGGCCACACACTCATAGAGCCCTGCGTCCCTCCTGCTGGTCTTCATGATCGTAATGAGCTGCCTTCCGTCTGGACAGGAGATCAAGTTCATCCTGTCGTCCATCTCCAGCGGTCTCTTATCTGGGGACAAGCAAACCCAAGCAACAATAAGAATTACAGTGGCAGCCTGTAAAGTAATGTTTTATTTTATAGTCCTATTTCAAAAGGTGTTTATCTAGTATTCGATGAGAAACTTTCGAGAAATAATGAGCAATCTCTAACATAAACACAAGTTTAGGAAGTCGTGCTCATACAGGGCACCATGCTATGATGAGTTATGATAACATGACACATCCCTACACAAGCAACTACAGACATTTCAGCAGCAGCTCCTACAGTAATGCTTTATTAGACAGCGCTGTTCCAAAGAGTGTTATGTCTGTCAGCTCTATGACTTCTTACCTTTAGTCCAGGTGATTTGTGGCTGGGGGCTGCCAGCCGGGAGGCAGCTAAGAGTGACAGGGTCACCCTCCAATAAGACGTGGTCCCTCAGCTTGATGTGGAACACAGGAGGGAAGTCTGGGAAAACACAAGGGTGTGGCTTAATAATAATAATGAACACTGAGAATAAACGGAGTACGTAAAAGCAGTGTGCAGCTATTCTATTTCATTGTCAAACTCCAACTCTGTAGGCACATTCAACATAAAGGCAACTGACTGCCGAATTTAGCAGACAGTACTAGAGGAAGTGCGGGAGTACTGCAGGCTGCCTGATGGCCCCTCATCTTTGGCTGAGGGGAGGTCAGTCTGAGAGGGGGTCTTGTCCTTCCTGCTCCTGCCCAGACCCCACCTGTCCCACCGCGACCGCCGGTCAGTCTCTGGAGCTGTGGAGGACAAGACATAATGGCAAACAGCTGAGACAGACGAACCTGAGGAGGTGAGTTAATATCCCCATTATCTATGCTGCAATAGTCTATGTGCCGGGGGGGCTAGTGTCAGTCTGTCTTATCTGGTGTAATTCTCCTGTCTTATCTGGTGCCCTGTGATCTAAGGTGTGCTCCCTCGAATTCTCCCATCTCTCTCTCTCTCTCTCGCCCCTCCCGGAGGACCTGAGCCCTAGGACCATGCCTCAGGACTACCTGGCCTGATGACTCCTGGCTGTCCCCGTCCTCAGTCCACCTGGTTGTGCTGCTGATCCAGTTTCTGCTGTTCTGCCTGCGGCTATGGAACCCTGACCTGTTCCCCGGACCTGCTATTTCAACCCCCCCCCCCCCCCAGGTGCTGACCTGTTGCACACTCTATAACCACTGTGATTATTATTTGACCCTGCTGGTGATCTATGAACGTTTGAACATCTTGAAGAACGATCTGGCCTTAGTGGCCATGTACTCTTAAACTTAGAAAACAAATTGCTGTTTAGAACCTAAAAGGGTTCTTCGGCTGTCCCCATGGGAGAAGCCTTTGAAGAACCCTTTTTGGTTCCAGGTAGAACCCTTTTGGTTCCAGGTAGAACCCTATTGGGTTCCAGATGGAACCCTTTCCCGAGAGTTGGAACCAAAAAGGGTTGTCCTATGCACAGCCAGAAGAGGTCTGGCCACCCCCCAGAGTCTGGTTCCTCTCTAGGTTTCTTCCTAGGTTGCAGAGCCTTTCTAGGGAGTTGTTCCTAGCCTAGCCTGCTTCAACATCTGCATTGCTTGCTGTCTGGGGTTTTAGGCTGGATTTCTGTATAAGCACTTTATGACAACTACTGATGTAAAAAGTAAATTTGATTGATATTTGATGGAAATTGCCAATGCCATCTTAGCCAGTATAATATACCAAGATAAATATTAGTAGTAATATTTTTCTTCTAATATTCAATATCACAATGTAATTGATATTATATATTTTTTATATATACAACAACAGCTACTTACTGAGTGACTTTTGACTTTTTGACTTTTCGGAATGAAGGCTTGACGCAGACACAATGGATTCCTTGGACGCTTTGGATTCTTTGTTTGTCTGTTTGGCTAGCTGATTCTCTGGGATCCCCATCTCTTTGAGACCTCTTCCCTCAGACTGGGAATGTCGATGACGGGAAAACAGTGGAGTTTTCTTTCCCTCCGCCGTCTCTTTCCTTTCCTCTGACTGGCTTCGGACTTCCCCAGAAATTCCGGCCACCTTGTTCTCAAACTTCTTCCTCATCGCCAAGACGGGGGAATCGCTGACCTTCTTAAGATCATTTTCTTCTGCATCTTTCCGACTTTTCTCTTTCTCCACGCGTCGCTTGGCCTCTTTCTCCTCCTTCCTTTCCTCTGACTTGCTCCTCAAACTGGCTGAGATGCCCGCTACTTTGTTCTCGAACTTCCGCCGCATGGCGAAGACAGACGACTCCTCCATCTTTTTGCGTTCTCTTGCCTCCTGCTCTCTCCGAGCCTCTATATTGTCCAGCTGTGTCGTGTCCAGACTCTTACTGCGGCCTATGGCCCAGGACACCCTGCGCTTACTGGCCGCAGGCTCAGCCTCCTTTTTATCTATGGACGGGGTCCTCTTCGTGTGCATGGACAACCGTCCAATGATGCCCAGGGACCCTGTGTCTCTCTCCACCTCCCTCAAGTCCTGGACGGACTTGGACTTCTCCTGCAATCCTTGGTGCACCATCTCCAGCGGCGCCCCCAGACGCCCCGGCCGGTATACCTCCTCCCCCTCGCCTGCCTTACGGGGAAGGATCGGGGACTTCTCTTCTGATTTGGTCCTGGTCAGTCTCCGGAGCCCACGGGTCAGGGATGACTCACGCTTCTTGAACCTGGATTCAAAGACTTCCTCTGAGTCGATGTCCTTGATATCTGTTCTCAGTGGTGTGGTAGGTTGGCGTGGGGTGGTGGGGCGGTCTGGGACCGTAGACAAGCTATTCGAGATGGTTGGGCTGGTTGGGCGTTCGGTGGCCACCTTGGCGAAGACGGCAGGGTGTTCAGGCAACGTGGGGCTAGGTGTAGATTGAGATCTCCGGCTGCTGTCAGATTTCCCAGATGGTACTACAATGGTTTGCATCACGTTGGCGTACGCAGACGTTTTTTCTTTAGGCGGAACCCCTGGAGAATCGCCACCTTTTGCTTTTACCTCTTCTTTCTTTAACTCTATCTCCTGCTTTTCTTTCTGTTCATCTTCCTCAGTGTCCTCCTCCTCTATGACGATCACAGGAGCTAACACAGTAGGAGACCTGCCCAGGGAAAGCTCCCTCTTCGACTCGTGTCTGTCAACCCTCTCCTGTGCTTTGGTCCTTCTGTCCATGTCTTCATCTCTTTCAGAGGTCTCCTCAGACTTGCTCTTCTTCTTCTCCTCTGGTTCTTTCTCTTTCCTCACTCCTTGGTCCTCTGTGACTGGGGTGGGCTGTATGGAGGAAGAGGGCCCAGAAGAGGGCCCAGGAGAGGGCCCACGAGAGTAAGGTCTGGACTCCAGCCTGGTCTGCTCCGTAATTGCTGATATGGAAGTGGCCTCTTGGAGGACTTCCCCCTCTGTGTTCCTTTCAATGCTTTGGGTCCTTTTAGCACTGTCACTCCTCTCTGCTCCGCTCTGGCTAGATGTGCTAGTGGGGATCTCTAAAGGGGCTCCGAACCGCCGGTGCAGGGGCATGGGCTCCGAGTCGCCCTGACTGAAAGAGGAACTCTTCTGGAGCATTTTGGTTTTGGGTGTGTCCTCCACTGTGCTTTCGGTAGAGGCTGCTCTGGCCAGCGACCGCTCTGGCGCCCCCACCCTGGATCTCCTCAAGTTTCGGTCCAGGGACGAGGTTCGCCTCTCATCGTCCATTCCCAGGGTCTCCAGCAGGGGACCTCGCAGGCCGCTTTTGCTGTTGCCTCCCCTCAGCAGCCTCTGTCTCATCAGCTCCAGTTTGAGGGCATAGTCCTCCTGGCTCATCTTAGCTGCCCCAGGGCTGGGGCTCCGATTGGGTAGCTCCATGGAAATAGCCTTTTTGAGGCTTTTTTGGCCGCTGTCTTCCTTGCCCTCCTCCACAGCCCCCTCCTCTGGCTCGATGTGGAGAAGCAAGGCAGAGTCAGCTGAACTGCCCCTCCTCATCGTCGCTCTCCTGGACTTCGTCTGCGTGTCATCCTCCTCCACACTGGAACCCTTCTTCAGGGGGACTCTCTTCGTCTTCACCGCAGTCTTCTCCTCGTCCGAAGACCCGCCATCTTCCTCAGTTGTTACCCTTTTTCTCGTTCCTATGCTTCCTCCTAATTCCTTGGCCTCCGTTTTGGACACCACCTCCTCTATGGGCTGTTCCCTGTGCCGGGTTAACCCCGCCCCTTCCACCGTCCCATTGGACCTGGAAGGCGGTCCTGTGATGTCCTCTTCCCCTGGTATCTCGTTGAGGGAGACCCTGGAGCCGGAGAACACCATAGACAGGGGCATGGGGATGAAGGGGAGTTCGTCCACATCTTCGTCCGAGTCGGAGGATGAGGAGGGGGGGGGCGAGCCCTCTTTGAGGTGACGGGCCACAGCGATGGAGATGTGGTTGGACGAGTCGTTGAGAAGCTCCGGGATGGAGCGCATCACCATCTTGGATTTGTAGCTGATGAGGGAACGCTGGGTAGAGATAGGGAGAAAATGGACAGTGTTAAAAGGAGTAATTTGGAAGGTACTTAAAGGGATTCATTGAAGTGCATTAATCAATGTACTCCTTACAGAAATAATGAATGCCTTACCTGCCAACGTCTTCGAGATAAGACTTGCTTTAGCATCGCTGTGTTGATGCTCTTGTCTTTTATTGAAGTCTTGAACCAGGGGTGGCGAAGGCTCTCTGTAGCATTAGGCCTCCTGAGAGTAAAACATTACATCGTGATGTTGAAACACTAAGCCCCAAATACTTATTTTCTATTCTTCTTTTGTGTTGAAATTGAAATTGTTTGTATTCCTAATATAAGGGAATTCATTTGAATCAATTTATACAAAGGCATTATCATCAATAACACTCACAGTCTGTCAGCCACCAGCAGTTTGATGACGAATCCCTTGGCCTCTCTACAGAGGTCAGCGAACATACTCTCCTCAAAAGCCACATTTTGGTTCCTGATGTTGAGGACGGTGCATCTGTCGTTCTCCCCAGCAAAAGGAGACACACCAGTCAGGCTAGAAGGGAAATATATGATGTCAATATTATTTTACTGAGACTGTTTACTTGCTGTCAAGTCCATTTTAATTGGGTCAATTGAAGCCTGTGGCAATATGCAAACAATATGCAGGTGATATGCATTGGTGTTTTGCTTTGTGGAGAAACATTACATTTCAAGATTGACACTTCAATAAAGAAAGAAATGTAATGGCAAAAGGTGTATTGAATTCTAAGAATATCTCGACCAGACACATTTATCATGTTCTCAGCCCAACCAGAACCTTAACCACTCACCATAGGTAAGTGATGACCCCAATAGGCCTGCGAACAGAGAGAGAGAGATAAATTACTTTCAGAGGGCAAGATGAAGGAGAGAGGGAGAGAGCGATAAAATCATGATTAATCAGGAAATAGATTAAAGGAGAGAGTTTCCCCCCGACCAGGTGCCCACCAGATGTCTGTTGCCTTGGAGACCGGCGTTTGGTTAACAATCTCCGGGGCAACAAATTCCGGAGTGCCGTATTTGCAGTAGTGTGCTTCAGTGGTCTCCAGCTTGACGGCATTGCCAAAGTCACAGATGCGGATCTTGTCACTGTGTCGGCCTGCCATTAGGATGTTCTCAGGCTGAGTGGGGTGGAGAAAAACAGGGAATTATTCAGAACATAAACTAGGTTTCCATACAATTGGCAACATATTTTCATGCTAATATTCTTAAATCCGAATACAAATAAAATGCGCATTAGAGACCATCCTCTGTTATTTGATCTATGTAAAACTATTATAAAACTGTGACTTGATTTGTGTAATGTTATTCATTTTAGTGTACATGTTTTGAGCGAGGAAAATACATCAGTATCTGAGTAATATGTATTTGGGGGTTTGCTATATTCTTTCCTGGTTATATTAAGTAAGTTGATAATCGCAGAAGTATCTGTTATATAATAGCTTGTGATTAAAATACTGTATGTGTCCCTTGCACAGTGGGAATCTGATGTACCTTGATATCAAGATGAGCAATATCTTTCTGGTGAAGGTAGCTGACCCCTTCAAGCACCTGCTGAATACTTGACCGGATCTGCAGAACAGAACATCTCCTTTACCACATTCTACATTCTATATTCTATATTCTACATTCTACATTCTATAATTTACATTCTACACTGAACAAAAATATAAACGCAACATGTAAAATGTTAAAAAAAGATCCCAGAAATGTTCCATACCCACAAAAAGCTTATTTCTCTCAAATGTTGTGCACAAATTTGTTTACATCCCTGTTAGTGAGCATGTCTCCTTTGCCGAGATAATCCATCCACCTGACAGGTGTGGCATATCAAGAAGCTGATTAAACAGCATGATCATTACACAGGTGCACCTTGTGCTGGGGACAATAAAAGGCCACTCTAAATTTGTCACACAACACAATGCCAGAGATGTCTCAAGTTTTGAGGGAACGTGCAATTGGCGTGTTGACTGCAGGAATGTCCAACAGAGCTGTTGCCAGATAATTTATTGTTCATTTCTCTACCATAAGCCACCTCCAATGTCGTTTTAGAGAATTTGGCAGTACGTCCAACCGGCCTCATAACCACAGACCACGTCTAACCACGCCAGCCCAGGACATCCACATCTGACTTCTTCACCTGTGGGATCGTCTGAGACCAGCCACCCGGACAGCTGATGAAATTGAGGAGTATTTATGTCTGTAATAAAGCCGTTTTGTGGGGAAAAACTCATTCTGATTGGCTGGGCCTGGCTCCCAAGTGGGTGGGCCTATGCCCTACCAGGCCCACCCATGGCTGCGCCCCTGCCCAGTCATGTGAAATCCATAGATTAGGGCCTAATTTATTTATTTCAGTTGACTGATTTCCTTATATGAACTGTAACTCAGTAAAATTGTTGAAATTGTCACATATTGCGTTTATATTTTTGTTCAGTATATATTCTATATTCTACATTCTACATTCTATATTCCATATTCTACATTCTACATTCTATATTCTTGTACGTTCAACATGTAAAAAAAAATATATTTCACTGAATTTCGGTATGTTTTTAGATAAAAATGGTTGATTTTTCCATGCAATCCAGAGCACACTCAAACATAAGACAAACAGGCCAAGGCAAACCTCGGACTCCATGACGGTAGTCTTCTTGGTCAGCCGGTCCAGAAGTTCCTCATGGCATCTTCACACAGCAGTTAAGGAGAATATAGGTATAGTGTTTAATAACCATAGAGACAGATAGAGGACTCTAGTGCCCAAAATCCTGTTTTATAATGGGCAGCGCCATTGAGGACTTTCACCATTTTTAAGTAGTCAACTGGTTGGGACTTCCTATGGGTTAAGGAAGGATCACATGATTCCATCCGGGTCATCAGAAGGGATCAGCCAATGAATTATACTCGTGAGCAAACATTCCATAACTGCAGGTGGCAGTAAATCGCCAACTTTGGCTTTGTACCTGTTCAAACAACACAGTACAGGTGGCAGTATACACCCTTTCAGCTTGTTTATCAACTCACAGAAGTAGTAGATGAAGAAAATAGACTTCTTCAAAATGGAGATGGCCTCAATGGCCCTGCCCATGCTCTCACAGACGCCATAATGGGACAGAGACAATGATGCGATGTCTATCTAAGTCTATGGTGATAACCTTATCGCTACAGTCCAAGTGGGAGGCGAATTACATTTTTTATAATATATGAACCAAACTCCCACACATCGCGTCTCCTGGTAATGTAACCAATCTGTGATGAGTCAGGAGAAAGTAGCGCTACGGTTCAGTCATGTCTCCAGGGGAGTAGAGAGGACATTTAGATTAATGTTATGCAGCAGTTCTCTCTCATGCACAAGGTGGGAAGAAGGCTCTTGGCTCTGGTGTGTTCATGGAGAGGTTTTTATGCAAAGACGTAGGATCAATGCCATATTTTGATCCATATTGGATCTAGCTGTAAACAAAAATGAATATAATTTGAAAACAAACAATTCTAGGAACCATGATGTTGGTTTTTGAGGTCATTGATGGCTTTAGTTTTGATGCAACATTATTACATAGATGAGATATGTTGGATTAACAGGGAAAGAATGTTGATGCAACCAATACAATACTGGCTCAGTGAATATGTTATATTCAAACTTTTCATCTCTTGTAATATGGCTTCTTACATGCTGACCAGACCGTCCGCGTTGCATGCACAAGTGTTGCAAAATAAATGTAGACATACAGTTGAAGTCGGATGTTTACATACACCTTAGCCAAATACATTGAAACTCAGTTTTTCACAATTCCTGACATTTAATCCTAGTAAAAATTCACTGTCTTAAGTCAGTTAGGATCACCACTTTATTTTAAGAAAGTGAAATGTCAGAATAATAGTAGATAGAATAATTTATTTAAGCTTTTATTTATTTCATTACATTTTAGTCATTTAGCAGACACTCTTATCCAGAGAGACTTACAGTTAGTGAGTGCATACATTTTTCATACTGCCCACCCGTGGGAATCGAACCCACAACCCTGGCGTTGCAAGCGCCATGCTCTACCAACTGAGCTACAGGAGGCCTATTTCATCACATTCCCAGTGGGTCAGAAGTTTACATACACTCAATTAGTATTTGGTAGCATTGCCTTTAAATTGTTTAACTTGGGTCAAACGTTTCGGGTAGCCTTCCACAATCTTCCCACAATAAGTTGGGTGAATTTTGGCCCATTCCTCCAGACAGAGCTGGTGTAACTGAGTCAGGTTTGTAGGCCTCCTTGCTCACACACGCTTTTTCAGTTCTGCCCACAAATGTTCTATAGGAATGAGGTCAGGGCTTTGTGATGACCACTCCAATACCTTGACTTTGTTGTCCTTAAGCCATTTTGCCACAACTTTGGAAGTATGCTTGGGGTCATTGTCCATTTGGAAGACCCATTTGCGACCCAGATTTAACTTCCTGACTGATGTCTTGAGATGTTGCTTCAATATATCCACATCATTTTCCTTCCTCATGATGCCATCTTTTTGTGAAGTGCACCAGTCCCTCCTACAGCAACACACCCCCACAGCATGATGCTGTCACCCCCGTGCTTCACGGTTGGGATGGTGTTCTTCGGCTTGCAAGCACCCCCCTTTTCCCTCCAAACATAACAATGGTCATTATGGCCAAACAGTTCTATTTTTGTTTCATCAGACCAGAGGACATTTTTCCAAAAAGTACGATCTTTGTCCCCATGTGCAGTTGCAAACCGTAGTCTGCCTTTTTTATGGCGGTTTTGGAGCAGTGGCTTCTACCTTGCTGAGCGGCCTTTCAGGTTATGTCGATATAGGACTCGTTTTACTGTGGATATAGATACTTTTGTACCTGTTTTCTCCAGCATCTTCACAAGGTCCTTTGCTGTTGTTCTAGGATTGATTTGCACTTTTCGCACCAAAGTACGTTAATCTCTAGGAGACAGAACGCGTCTCCTTCCTGAGCGGTATGACGGCTGTGTGGTCCCATGGTGTTTATACTTGCATACTATTGTTTGTACAGATGAACGTGGTACCTTCAGGTGTTTGGAAATTGCTCCCAAGGATGAACCAGACTTGTGGAGGTCTACACATTTTTTTCTGAGGTTTTGGCTGATTTCTTTTGATTTTCCCATGATGTCAAGCAAAGAGGCACTGAGTTTGAAGGTAGCCCTTGAAATACATCCACAGGTACACCTCCAATTGACTCAAATGGTGTCAATTAGCTTATCAGAAGCTTCTAAAGCCATGACATCATTTTCTGGAATTTTCCAAGCTTTTTAAAGGCACAGTCAACTGTGTATGTAAACTTCTGACCCACTGGAATTGTGATACAATGAATTATAAGTGAAATAATCTGTCTGTAAACAATTGTTGGAAAAATGACTTGTGTCATGCACAAAGTAGATGTCCTAACTGACCTGCCAAAACTATAGTTTGTTAACAAGACATTTGTGGCGTGGTTGAAAAACTAGTTTTAATGATTCCAACCTAAGTGTTTGTAAACTTCTGACTTCAACTGTACATGTTATTCAATCATTTCATCCAAACTGCTCGCGCGCGTCAACGGGCGTCTGTGTAGCCAGGCGCTAAAACAGAACTTGGTTCTATTTTAGATGCTTGACACGCTGCAAGTCCCGCCTTTCCCATCTACTCATTGGTTTTTACGAGCATATACCCACATGGGTGATTGAAAGATGAACGAGGTCCACACTCCAGTCAAGTTGGTGGCGGTAATGCACCTTATAGTCGGTTGCCAACCGCCATATAAAATCCACAGAAGAAGAAAAATCATTAGAATAAGAATGAACTAGGAGAGATGAATAAAAGAAAATGAAGTAAAAACGAACTAGGTTTCCCCTTTTATCTGTGAGTATAGAATACACGATTATGTGTGACTCAAAATGGGTCAATATTCTACAAAGATCCAGCATAAAAAGGACCATAAGCATTTCAGGTAAAATAACGCAATGTTTTTCTAAACCCAGAGGCGCTACATCGCAAGACTTCCGGGAACGCTTGCGAAACACACCAAACAGACCAGAACAGGGTGTTTGAGAAGTCAATGAGAGAAGTAAAAAATTATTCCTTAGTTGTTAATTTTCTCGAAATCTAAAGGCACAACATAGATTTGAGCCAATGACTTAAGAAGTTGAACATGTTATTATTCCAACCTCGTCAAAGTGACAAACGGACACTTTTTAATTTTAGTCAAAAACAACTTTATATCGAAGGAATGCCTTTGATTTGCACATGCGCAGTTCGGAGCGAGACCCAATGACGTGTTTCTACGCATGAGCTTTGCTAGCCAACGTCGCCTACAAGTGTGATCAGGGATTTCTATTGGAGAAGCAGTTTTAGCCTATCTGAATACTGTACTGTCTTTGGTTTATCGCCCAAGACAAATTACCTAGCAACAGCAAGCTAGCTAAATGTCCATTAATGTTTCATGCGTTTCGACCTCTCCCCAAATTAATATAGTTGGTTCACAGTTGGTTTTGGTATTTTAACCTGCATGTTGTGAACGCGTCTGGTGGGGATAAACAAATTCAACATGTGCACGATGGCGCACGTGGACGCAGGTGCAGAGCCGGTTTGGTCATCATGTAATGGATTTTCTGACAACCAAAATGAATCAAGGAATCAGTCAGTGAAAGGATACAGCTCAGTGATGATGACGACCATGTTCTTCTTCTCGAAGGCGTCATGGAAGTAGAGGACTTTCTCGTGGTCCAGCTCTGACAGAAGGTTCATCTCCCTCAGGGCCGATGCCTTCCTCTTGGCCCTCGCAGACACAAACTTGGCCGCGTACTCCACCTTCCCCTTCTTCTCAGTCACCCTCTTCACATAGGAGAACGCTCCACTGGAAAACAGTCGCACAATGATGACATCGTTGCAATAACTCTATGAGAATCACCAAATGATTCAATGGGATTGAGTGAGCATAAAAACAGGTCAGTTCTGGGAAACTTAAAGTCCTAGTTGAGAAAGTAAAGGGACATGAGTATTAAACGGTACGTGACACCTTGTTATTGGTGGACTTCTGGTGAGTCAAGCCAAGCTCTACCAGAGAAAAACTAAAAACAAATAGCCTTTGTGATGTGTTCCTCTACTGACGGGTGACTCACCTCTCCTCTATTTCTGTCTGCTATCATTATGCAGTCAGTGTGTTGTTTGGTGTGGTGGAATTCCCCGTACTGACCTTTGTGGCTACCGTTCACAATGCAATTAAATACAGATAGCAGCTACCACTCGCAGAGCCATTAAATAGAGAAGAGATAGCCTGGCTGAGCGGATGTTGTTTGTGATTGCCTGGTCCATGACTCACCGTCCTATCTCCTTGTGTACGTCGTAGTAATCAGTCAGCCTCCGCATCTTCCTCAAAATGGACCCCTCATCCTCCATGGGCTCCACCACCTCCTTCCTCACTGCAGGCAGGGGGTTAGAACAGCGGGCAAGGTTAATGTGGGTAGGTGGGTGGTTTGTGTCTGTGTGTGTGTGTGTGTGTGTGTGTGTGTGTGTGTGTGTGTGTGTGTGTGTGTGTGTGTGTGTGTGTGTGTGTGTGTGTGTGTGTGTGTGTGTGTGTGTGCTGACAGATGGTTTAATAGTCTCAGACACCTTGTGGTCCAACCCATATGGAGCAGATTTGGTTGTTTAACTTTCGATTACACCAAGCTTTGGCTGAGATATCACAAGGACAAACAGATGCAATCCAACTAAAACGGCCATTTCTGGCAACAACAATTAATAGGAAAAGCCTTGGTACTGTGACATCTGTGTTAACAATATTCAGTATGCAGAAAAAGCACACTTTTCAACAGTGTGTCTTTAATACCTTACCATAAGGGTGTGTTAATCAACAATAATACTTCGATTATGAAAGCACAAAATATCATTATTGTAGATGTTTTCCAGACTTATTCCAATATCTGTATTTATCCTTATATTATTCAGACAATATAGACTATGGTCCTGACCTTTGTGGATGGTGAGTTCAGCCTTGCAAGAGACTTGCCCAGCCAGGTTCTTGGCGGTGCAGGTGTACACCCCTGAGTCCTCAGGCCGGGCGTTCAGCACCACCAGAGAACACTCTGTATCATCGTACACAAAGGTGAAGTGACTGCTCTCCGACAGCACAATGTCATCCTGGAACCACAGAACAGATAACCACAATCAATCCCACTTGATCAACTATCATGGAGGGGTAGGTTTGTTTTCCTGGAACCACAAAGGAGTTAATCATCCAATAACCTGCTTAATCACTACAGAATAAGTTTATGTGGTTAATGATATGATATCCATCCATTGACTCTTATCATACCTTGTACCACAGAATATCAGGGTCGGGTTTCCCCTCGACAACCACGGCAAAGCGAGATGTCTCTCCTACATGTATTTCCAAGTCCTCCATGATGGACTCGAACTTAGGACGCACTGTTGTGAGAAAAGGAGGGGAGAGAGTTTGGGGTCAGTTTGGCTTTTTACCTTGTCATGGTTACAGTAAGCACCAGGGCTGTTAGTTGATTCTATATCTGCATACAGGGGTGAACTTTGACCCCAAACTCACCTGCCATGGCCAGTAGGAGGGTACAGAGGTCACTGCCAAACTGGTTGTTGGCTGTACAGACCAGCTGACCGGTGTCAGTGCTCTTCACCCTCTGGATCTTTAGGGTGTGTTGGTCGTCGTCTGGCATGCTCATCTCAAACATCCCTGGCTTGTTGAGCAGCACCACCCCCCTCCTCTTCCAGGTGACCACAGCATTGACGTGGTTGAGGGTGAGGGTGATGCTCACGGACTGGTTCTCCACCACATACACAACGTCAGGCTTGTCCAGGATGATGGGAGCTTTCCTCAGATAGGGACCTGGTAGGGATCAAAGGTCAAACGATCAGGGGATCAAGCCATCATCTCTGATGTGTTGACAGACCAACATTCCCTCACAATAGTAGATCCTATATATTTGGCTACATATCCGGCTCGAAAGGACCATGTAATTATACTTTATTTGTGCACCTGCCGCAATGTGTTTGGTGACATTGCTTTTGCAATATGCAAGTGTTTACATAGAGCCATTTAACCTTTAGCGAACATGTTGACTTTATTAAATAAAGCAACCACGAAAACAACAAAACCAAATGACGATACGTGAAGTCCAAAAGTGACAATGACTGAACAGGAACAAAAACCCACAAACACAAGGTGAAAACAGACAGTATAAATATGGCTCCCAATCAGAGACAACGAGCCAACAGCTGACACTCGTTACCTCTGATTGGGAGTCACTCAACCAAACAAAGAAATACAACACATAGAACCACCCAACCAAACAAAACACCACGAAACGAACACACCCTGGCTCAACACACAAAGTCCCGGAGCCAGAGCGTGACAGTACCCCCCCCCTAAAGGCGCGGACTGCGACCGCGCCTCATTAAGGCTAAACAAGGGAGGGCTGGGTGGGCATACCTCCTCGGCGGTGGTTCTGGCTCCGGCCCTGATCCCCACCTCCTCTTCAACCCCCCAAAGTACCCCTGGTCCTGTCTAGCCCCGCTGGTCGGAGCCGGACTGACGACACGCGCCCCTGGCTTGGTGCGTGTAGGAGGAACGAGCTGGACCAGGCTGACGACTCGCATCCCTGGTTTGGTGCGAGTAGCAGGAACGGGCTGGACCAGGCTGACGACGCGCACCACTGACCTGGTGCGGGGAGCAGGACTGAGCCGGACCGGGCTGACGACGCGCACCACTGACCTGGTGCGGGGAGCTTGGATGGGCCGGACTGGGCTGGCGACGCGCACCACAGACTTGGTGCGGAGAGCAGAAACGGGCCGGACAGGGCTGGCGACGCGCACCACAGACTTGGCGCGGAGAGCAGGAACGGGCAGAGCCGGGCTGACGAGACGCACCACAGACTTGACGCGGGGAGCAGGAATGGGCCGGACCGGGCTGGCGATGCGTACCCCCGACCTGGTGCGGGGAGCAGGAACGGGCAGAGCCGGGCTGACGAGACGCACCACAGACTTGATGCGGGGAGCAGGAATGGGCCGGACTGGGCTGGCGACGCGCACCGCAGGTTCGATGCGGGGAGCAGGAATAGACCGGACCGTACTGGGGACACACACCACTGGTTCTACACCGGGCTCTGGAACGGGCCGGACCGGACTGGCAACACACGCCAGTACCTCTCGCCGTGCCTCCACACCTTCCATCCCCTCTTCTACCAGTGGCCCCCGTAACCCGGCGGCCTTCTCCGGCAACCCACTGGACCGCTCTATCGCGGCCTCCTGCTGGTCCGCCGTCGTGAGCCCCCCCCTAAAAATTTTCGGGGCGTCTCTCCTACCCGTGGACCACTTCTCCATATCCCTCGCCAGCTTCTCGCCCTTCTACCATAACGTCAAGCCCTTGTCTTCCTCCCTCGGCTTGACCCAGTCCAGGAGGCGAAGGAGATCTGTGAGGGATCTCCCTGGCGATGGCTCCTGGACACGCTGCTTGGTCCCATCTTGGTGGGTTTTTCTGTCACGATCGTCTAAGGAAGCGGACCAAAGCGCAGCGTTTGTAGCGAACATGTTGACTTTATTAAATAAAGCAACCACGAAAACAACAAAACCAAATGCCTCGATCAGAACTGAGTGACTGTAGAGACTTGGAGCCTATACAAGTACCTCTGTCCATGAGCTGCACCAGGTCAGTGGAGGGGGAGGGTTTGCTGAGGAGCTTGGCGGTGGCCGCTAGGACCCTGAAGGCGTAGCGGACTCCCTTGGAGAGACCGGTGACGGTGTAGGTGGTCTCTCTCAGGTTGGAGGCTATGATACTCCACTGGATGGAACCCAGAGGCTGCTGCTGCACCGCATACGTCAAAGAACTGCCATCTGGAAGCACAACCATAGGGGGTTACTGTAGCAGTGTAGCGAATTTGTAGGGTAGACTAGCCTGACAGGGACTCGAACCCGGGTCCCTGTGACTCTCAGTCATATTGAGGCATACCTATGGAAGAGTCAAGTCTCTTTGGTTTCTTCCAGCTGAGTGTTATGGTCTTCCCTGTTATGGACTCTACCACTGGAGGACCATCGGGGGGATCAGGAACAATGTCTATCAAATGAAAATACAAATGTACCAACACACCCATACTGTAGTCAGATGGCACAGGGATTCTCATGGCGTTTTTGGTTGGAGCACATGTTGCTGTGATTGCTTTCACATGGTCCCCATCCATACCTGTGATGTAGAGGTGTGCGTAGCAGGCTGCCTTCCCCACTTTGTTGGAGATGACACACTTGTAGACGCCCCCGTGGCCGTGGCACACACAGCGGATGATCAGACTGTGGACATCTCTGTCTGGAGGGAGAGAGAGATATATAACTAATGTAGAGAGAGAGATGACGCAGGTAGAGGAGGGAGGAAGAGAGTCAGATAATGCTAGTAGAGGAGCGATAGAAAAAATGAGAGAGAGGGAGAGGGAGAGGGAGGTAGAGAGAGAGAGAGAGAGAGAGAGAGAGAGAGAGAGAGAGAGAGAGAGAGAGAGAGAGAGAGAGAGAGAGAGAGAGAGAGAGAGAGAGAGAGAGAGAGATTGTCTCCTTACTCTGAGTCATCTTCCTGTCGTCTGTACTGTCTATCTTCTTGCCGTTGTGGTACCAGGCGATGGTGGGGTAGGGCAGGCCCGCCACCTTACACTTTAGCACCGCCTCCTTCCCCTCGATCATCTCCAGGTCAGCCAGGGGCTTGACGAAGTCGGGCATGGTCCTCTGCTCCTGCTCCACCTCGCTCTCCAGAACCTCTGGCTCCTCAGCGATGGAAGGCATCTTCTCCAGCTTTGCCCTGGAGAGAAGAAGGGAGCAAATAGAATGAGAGACAGAAGGAAACGGAAATACAGAAGAGAAGATAAGATAAGGAAACACCTATTATTAGTTTTTAGATCACTGCAGATGAGGAGAAGAAGCCTAGTCAGACTAGTGGGATCACCCCATGTCTATGGTTTTCCTCGTACATGTGAGAAGAGATAGCGGGCCGCGGTTCCTGCATGTAGAGTTCGGCTGTGCACTCCGCCTTTCCGTGTGCGTTCTTAGCGACGGCTGTGTAGAAGCCCTCCGTGTCGCTGCTGACGTGGATGATGACCAATGAGTAACGGCCTCCTTCCTGCAGGAGACGCACATTCTCACTCTCCTCCACCGGGTTCTCTGGATGGAGATAAACACAATATGGTAGATTCATAAAGAGTCAACCAATGGGCTAACAAAGAGATATTACAAGCCATACTAGCCTACATTACCAATTTGCTGTGCATTCTGTACCAATAGGAAATACAGTACATTCCAAGAGGGATACTTACCGAAATGGTTCCAGGTGACGCTGGGAGGAGGAGACCCGCTGACCTTGCAGTCAAAGCGGGCTGTGCGACCCTCTATGACCTCCAGGATGTCCAGCTTGCGGGTGAACAGGGGCTCCCTGGAGGGAGTGACCTTTAGTTGGGCACTGGAGGTCAACTCCTCTGGAACAGGAAGGAAAATGACCAACAATTACATTCATGGTTTATAAGTAGTTTATAGACAATAAGTGATTTACAAATTATTAATAAAGAGGTTTTAACTCATTGGCTGAAATTGTGTGATCATCATTTTTGGTGCCTGCCAAATAGTGTGGCTGTACCATTACATTACTTACAACAGCAGCAATTAATTACTGCCTTATAAACCCATTATTTGGCAAGGAAGTCAAAGGAGGTCTCATTTACCTTTGGCAGTGCTCAGCTTGCAGGTGTAGGTTCCACTGTCGTCTTCATGTACTGAGTTTAACAGCAGCCGGCACCTGTAATAGAAATCCCCTCTGTCAGCTGTCTGGACCTTATTACACGCTCCATGAGCTAACATACTGCCACTGCCTCAGATCCACTTGGGCTGTTTCCTTCATTAGAAAAAGTGAATGTCCCATTCACAGTTTGCTTATGGACAAAATGTTGTTGTATTTTATTTTTAATTTTTTTATTTCACCTTTATTTAACCAGGTAGGCCAGTTGAGAACAAGTTCTCATTTACAACTGCGACCTGGCCAAGATAAAGCAAAGCAGTGTGATAAAAACAACAACAACACAGAGTTACACATGGGATAAACAAAACATACAGTCAATAACACAATAGAAAATCTATATACAGTGTGTGCAAATATAGTAAGTTATGGAGGTAAGGCAATAAATAGGCCATAGTGCAAAATAATTACAATTTAGTATTATAAATGTTATTTTGTAGGCCCCCTCCATATTGCTCTAACTAACCATCCAATCTACTCAGATCAGAGTGGATGTTGGAGAAAGGGGCAAGGAAAGGAAATCCCTTCAAAGATTTGAGGCACACCCTATATCGCTCTCACCCATTCAATCAAGGGAAAAGGAAGGAATTCACTTAACAGCATTGAGGCACTTTTCCCTTTCAGAGTGTCTAGGCCAGGGCTCTTCAACACTGTTCCTGGAGAACAACAGGGTTGAAGAGTCCTGGTCTAGTCCTACCCACCTCTTCCCGTTAAAGGTCATCTTGCAGTTGAGCAGTGCCGGCTGAACCAGCTTCCCATTGGACAGCCAGTCTACCTCCACATCCAGAGGCCCGGTCATGTGACACTCAAACATGGCCGACTCTCCGGCCCTCACCGCCACGTCTCGCACCTCTCTGATGATGGCCAGGGCTTCCTGTGCTGGGGAGGCTGGGGAAAAGACAGAGGAGAGAAGAGACCAATACAGATCTGTTACTGTTGGAGCTGGAAACACAAGCATTTCGCTGCACCTGAGATAACAATCAACTTTGATTTGATTTTGAGCTTTTTTCAAAATGCAGCCGGCACCAACCCTAATGGTCAGTCACTGACGCTGGTCTTGTGGACTTCGGAGTGATCTTTACCTTTGACCTCTAGTTTGCATTCGCTCTGCTTGGTTCCGTATTCGTTGATGATCTTGCAAGTGTAGAGTCCTGCATCAGTTCTCTGTGCTGGAGCGATGATCATTTCACTGGTGCCGTCCTCTGTCTCACGCACAATGAATCTGCCATTGGTTTTTAGGGTCACTTTGTCCCTCAACCTGGGTGATCAAAACAGGTACATTTTGAACTCTTGCAAAAGCAAACGAGAGAAAGTCATGACAAACTTTATTGACACACACTGTATACTGTATTCCTACCAGTACACCATAGGTTGAGGATGTCCTCTGACTCTGACAGACATGGTAACCTCCTGTCCCTCTGTCACCACTTGGTCATTCAGTGCTACCTATCAAACCGAAAGACAAAGACTGTTTAAAAGCCAGTACATTGAAAACTCAATGGCGAGGGGAGAAATCCACCTTAGACTATTGAGATGCCTCCTGAATCTTCTTTACCTGAAAAGAGGGGGGATCTTTGAAGAAGGCGTATTTAGACTGTGGCCCCACCCCTCGCGAGGGGGGTTCTCCAATCTCCATGACCTCCTCCAGGGGGCTCAGGTACTCCTCATCTGATTGGAGGGGACTGGTGACCTCCACCAGGGGCAAGCTGCTCGGCTTCCCACCATGCACCTGGGTCAGCTCTGGAGAAACAACATAGTACATGTTTACCATATATAATTTTAATGAATTTTAAGGATGTCCCTACCAGAGGAGGCTGGTGGGAGGAGCTATCGGAGGACGGGCTCATTGTAATGGTTGGAATGGAATAAATGGAACGGTATCAAACACATCTAACATATGGAAACCACATTTAACTCATTTCCATTTATTCCATTGCAGCCATTACAATGATCCCGTCCTCCTATAGCTCCTCCCACCAGCCTCCACTGATCCCTACAAAATGGTGCCCCGTGTGAGCACGATCCTTAACAGTATCAAAATGAACAGAACAGGCGCATCGTCCTGTCTATGCAACACAGAGCGAGGCAGGGTAATAAAAATGAAATTTGTAATATAGATCAAACACAACAATAATTCCACAATGACGTTTATGGACCAACCGATATGGTAACGTAGTTAATGAAATGGACACATTGTAACTTGATAGCGTTTGTGAGGTGTAAAGCACAGAGAATTGTAGCAATAAGCATGAACTGAATTACTTGAATATTCCTAATTAGCCCCCCAACAAAGAGCGTATCTCTGCTCCACTGTCTCCTGTTCTGCTTGTGTGTTGCTCTACTTGTATCACCACGGTGATGTGTGTTTGGAGAGATGAGCGGTTTGGCAGGAGCGATGGAGACAGACACACACACATTGCTGAGGGACCCTTGGAAGTGACCAGCGCTGGACAGATAATGGATTAATCCCTGAATCCCTGACCCAATCATTCTGTGAGTCTAGTCCAGCACCACAAGAGACACACTGTCTCCACCACCAGCCTCTCCACAAGTCACAGTTCATTCAGCTCCACAGAGGAACCATAGTATTGTAGCAACCACCTCTTTACAAAACCATGGGCTCCAGAATTCAATTTCACTGGCAAGATAAACAGACAATGCTCTGACAAACGAACGAGAATAATCAACAGAAGCTATAGATAGAACATGAAAAGGTTCTCTCCTGTTAGGAAAAAGAACAGTGTAGCTCAGTATACATAGAAACTGCTTCGATTGCTTGGCCATACACATGAAGAGATAAAGTGATCAACATCACAGAGACTAAAGCTAACAAGGACATCTGTAGAAAGAACAGAGGACATCCAGGCATTCTAGATGTTTAGAGGTCTTAGAACCAGAACTCAATTAGTATACAAGTGAAAACCCTTTGATGTTAGAATGTTCTGATTTCTCCTAACTATGACTAAGAAGTTTCAGATGTGGAGATCGAGGACTTACCTAAGAAGTTACATGTCTGAGTCGAGCCTGTGTACAGACAACTAGCACCAGCTTTGTTCCTGTAATGCTGCCAATGTTTACACAAATGCTGCATGGAGCTAGCCTTCCTAGTCTGCTGCTAATAATCAACCAGTTCAATCTCATCCTCTCCCTCTCTCCCTCGCTTTCCTATTTTTTAACTCCAAATTATCTTATTCCTTCTCTCTGTCCTCCAACAATATTACATCAACCCACATTCCCTGTAGCCTAAAGGCTTTGATACAATGTTTTTTTAATGAACACCAAAGACTTTTGGAAAGCATCTCATATTGTAGGTATATATTCCAGTTGCAAAAACTCAGCATTTGATGTAGGTGGATTTAATTCAGACGTTTAATACCCTAAATCTCCTCTAATACACTACTGTTTAAATCCCAACTTGATGCGCCAAAATCCTCACCCACCCCACAGAACCATAGCAACATGACTCATAATCTCGTTGTACATGAGTTTGGCAAGTCCCCTGACTCTAGCATCGCAGGGTGAAATCATCACGGATAAAGAAGGGGTCTATGATCGCAACATTAATCTCACACTGGGACATACAGCAGACCGCAATTACCATTGAGAACAAGAGGCTGCTATAAATACCATGTGGTAGCCTCCACTGGCCTAATATGGCCAAGCAGGCCTGGTGCTGAGCTAGCGCCAGAAAGCTACAGCAGTAGCATACACTCTACAGGATAACACTGTGCAGAGACATTACAGGACTGGAGAAAGAGCTTGTGGCACATTCGAGGGATGTTTAAATAGTTTGGCTTCCTCAACAGATATGGAAGGAGTAGGTCTAAGAGAGCGAGAGACATTTATGAACTACTGTATATTGGATTGTCACAGAGATCTGTGTGTTTCTGTTTGAAATAATAAGTATATTATTGCAGCCATTATTTTGATTTGATGCAGGAGTGTTACTGTTTGTCTGTATTGGCTTGCTGTGAGAGCTGTGGTGTGGTTTTGTCACGCCCTGGCTCTGGGGACACTTGTATGTTGAGCCAGGGTGTGCATTTCATTTGTTTATCTAGTATGTGTATTTCTATGTTGGCCTGAGTGGCTCCCAATCAGAGGCAACGAGTGTCAGCTGTCGTTGGTTGTCTCTGATTGGGAGCCATATTTAAACTGTCTGTTTCCCATTTGTGTTTGTGGGATCTTGTTTCAAGTCTGTTTATGTTAGACCGTGAACTGTCACGTATCGTTTGTTGGTTTTGATCGTGTCTCTAATTAAAGAGTATGTTTGCCTGCAACGCTGCGCCTTGGTCCTCATCATCTGTTCTAGACGATCGTGACAGAAGATCCCACCTCGACTGGATCAAGCAGCGTGACGAGGAGAGAGGATGGACTTGGGAGGAGATGAGTGCGAGTCTGGCAAGAGGGATGGAGGCCTTGGCCACGGGTAGGAGTGAAGCCCATAAATTTTTTAGGGGGGGGCTAACGCCGTGGACGACGGGGCAGCAGGAGGCCGCCAGGTTACGGGAGTCACTGGTCACCAGGGGGAAGGAGGATGTAGAGGCACGGCGAGAGGTACTGGCGTGTGTTGCCAGTCCGGTCCGGCCTGTTCCTGATCCCCACGTAGGGCCAGTGGTGTGTGTTCCCAGTACGGTCCGGCCTGTTCCTGCCACTCGCACCAAGTCAGTGGTGCGCTTCGTCAGCCCGGCATGGCCCGTTCCTGCTCCCCGCACCAAGTCAGTGGTGCGTTTCGTCAGCCCGGCGCGGCCCGTTCCTGCTCCCCGCACCAAGTCAGTGGTGCGCGTCGTCAGCCCGGTCCGGCCCATTCCTGCTCCCCGCACCAAGTCAGTGGTGCGTTTCGTCAGCCCAGCTCGGCCCGTTCCTGCTCCCCGCACCAAGTCAGTGGTGCGCTTCGTCAGCCCGGCACGGCCCGTTCCTGCTCCCCGCACCAAGTCAGTGGTGCGCTTCGTCAGCCCGGTCCGGCCCGCTCCTGCTCCCCGCACCAAGTCAATGGTGCGTTTCGTCAGCCCGGCGCGGCCCGCTCCTGCTCCCCACACCAAGCCAGTGGTGTGCGTCGTCAGTCCGGCACGGCCCGTACCTGTTCCACCGGTGGCTGGTCCAGCACTGGTCAGATGCTTCACGCCGGAGCTAGAGCAATCCGCTCCACCAGTGTGCAGTCCAGCTCCGGCCAGCGGGGCCAGACCGGACCAGGGGTACTTTGGGGGGTTGGAGAGGGAGCGGGGATCAGGCCCGGAGCCGGATCCGCCGCCTAAGTGGAGTGCCCACCCGGTCCCTCCCCTGTGGTGTTTGGTGGGCGCGGTCGGAGTCCGTGCCTTTAGGGGGGGGTACTGTCACGCCCTGGCTCTGGGGACACTTGTATGTTGAGCCAGGGTGTGCATTTCATTTGTTTATCTAGTATGTGTATTTCTATGTTGGCCTGAGTGGCTCCCAATCAGAGGCAACGAGTGTCAGCTGTCGTTGGTTGTCTCTGATTGGGAGCCATATTTAAACTGTCTGTTTCCCATTTGTGTTTGTGGGATCTTGTTTCAAGTCTGTTTATGTTAGACCGTGAACTGTCACGTATCGTTTGTTGGTTTTGATCGTGTCTCTAATTAAAGAGTATGTTTGCCTGCAACGCTGCGCCTTGGTCCTCATCATCTGTTCTAGACGATCGTGACAGGTTTATCTTTTAATGTAACCATAATTCAAACTATTGACTATTGACTGAACCAACAGACATCTCAGCTAATAATACACATCCTACATTTTTATATCCAAGAGGAATACTCATTCTGTTGACAAAGACTAATCCCCAATTTTGAACATCCGCCTAACTGACTGAAAACCCGGGGACCTTTAGTGATTGGCAGACAAGTCTTTGTTTTGAACATCCACCAGGGGACCCAAATGCCTTTCACAAATTAAGAGTTGCCGTGGCAACTATCTGTGGAAGGAGCTTGGGCTTGGGATGGGATGCCCCTTTGTAGTTATGAAGACAAATTGTCAGAGCAGAGCTGGCAGGGGATTAGGATGGAGAGTTGTGGTGTTTGCGTGCATGTGTGCGTTTGTCTGTCTGTGTGTGCATCCCAGACCAAATAAATGGTGTTCCTTTAGTCAATTGATCAACTAGAATGTATGGCAGCCTGTGTGCATGCCTGTGTGAGTGTTGTATCTGTGTGTAACCCCACTCACCTGATTTGATGTAGAGCGTGGCGTTGCAGGATGCTTTCCCGGCCGTGTTGACAGCGGTGACGCAGTACGTCCCGGCATCTCCAGACCTCATCTGGGTTATCAGTAGGGAGTGCTGCTCCCCCTCAGCCTTGACCACATGGGACGGGCTGCTCCTTATCAGAACGTTACTCTTCTTCCAAGTCACTGCATTCCAAGGGGTCACACACAAAGACATATCTCAGACCCCGCTCAGACAACTTAATCACAGTCCCTTCCCCTGTGTCTAAGTGCAGAATGATGTGTGGCCCCTAAGCACCGTTCCAAGGTCAGTTTGACATACAGTGCATTCGGAAAGTAATCAGACCCCTTCCCTATGTCCACATTTTGTTATGTTACAGCCTTATTCTAAAATGAATTAAATAAAACATGTTACTCATCAATCTACACACAATACCCCATAATGATAAAGCGAAAATAGGTTTTTAGACATTTTTGCAAATTTATAAAAAATACCTTATTTACATAAGTATTCAGACCCTTTGCTATGAGACTCGAAATTGAGCTCAGGTGCATCCTGTTTCCATTGATCATTGCTGAGATATTTCTACAACTTGATTGGAGTCCACCTGTGGTAAATTCAATTGATTGGACATGATTTGGAAAGCACACACCTGTCTATATAAGGTCCCACAGTTGATCGAGTTCCTCTGTGGAAATGGGAGAACCTTCCAGAAGGACAACCATCTCTGCAGCACTCCACCAATCAGGCCTTTATGATAGAGTGGCCAGACGGAAGCCACTCCTCAGTAAAAGGCACATAGCAGCCCGCTTGGAGTTTGCCAAAAGGCACCTAAAGACTCTCAGACCATGAGAAACAAGATTCTCTGGTCTGATGAAACCAAGATTGAACTCTTTGGCCTGAATACCAAGCGTCACGTCTGGAGGAAACCTGGCACCATCCCTACGGTGAAGCATAGTGGTGGCAGCATCATGCTGTGGGGATGTTTTTCAGCTGCAGGGACTGGGAGACTAGTCAGGATCGAGGGAAAGATGAACGGAGTAAAGTACAGAGAGATCCTTGATGAAAACCTGCACCAAAGCGCTCAGGACCTCAGACTGGGGCGAAGGTTCACCTTCCAACAGGACAACGACCCTAAGCACACAGCCAAGACAACGCAGGAGTGGCTTCGGGACAAGTCTTTGAATGTCCTTGAGTGGCCCAGCCAGAGCCCGGACTTGAACCCGAGGAGAGACCTGAAAATAGCTGCGCAGTGACGCTCCTCATCCAACCTGACAGAGCTTGAGAGGATCTGCAGAGAAGAATGGGAGAAACTCCCCAAATACAGGTGTGCCAAGCTTGTAGCGTCATACCCAAGAAGACTCGAGGCTGTAATCGCTGTCAAAGGTGCTTCAACAAAGTACTGAGTAAAGGGTCAGAATACTTATGTGAATGTTTTTTTTTAAACATTTTAGTCATTTAGCAGATGCTCTTATCCAGAGCGACTTACAGTTAGTGAGTGCATACATTTTTCATACTGCCCCCCCCGTGGGAAACGAACCCACAACCCTGGCGTTGCAAGCTCCATGCTCTACCAACTGAGAAACATTATGGGGTATTGTGTGTAGATTGATGAGGGGAAAAAACAATTTAATCCATTTTAGAATAAGGCTGTAATGCAAAGGGGTCTGAATACTGTGGAAAAATACTGTGGAAAAAGTCAAGGGGTCTGAATACTGTGGAAAAATACTGTGGAAAAAGTCAAGGGGTCTGAATACTGTGGAAAAATACTGTGGAAAAAGTCAAGGGGTCTGAATACTGTGGAAAAACACTGTGGAAAAAGTCAAGGGGTCTGAATACTGTGGAAAAATACTGTGGAAAAAGTCAAGGGGTCTGAATACTGTGGGAAAACACTGTGGAAAAAGTCAAGGGGTCTGAATACTGTGGGAAAACACTGTGGAAAAAGTCAAGGGGTCTGAATACTTTCCAAATGCACTGTATTACATCATCATCGTCCAAATGTGTTTGGGGAAGGCAAAAGCTGACCCCAGAGCTGTGCTTAACCTCTACCTGGAGATGACCTACCTGTTGGGAGGGGGCTGCCAGTGATGACACATTTGAGCAGGACCTCAGAGCCAGCGGTGGCGGTGGTGTCCCTCAGGGGCCTCTCAAACTCTGGTTCCTCAGCTGGCCCCTCATCTGCCGACATGTAAGAGTCATCTGAATCGTCTCCTACAACAGAAAGATAGGCGCTGTATTACTTTCCCTCTATACTGTAGATATTCATCTATTTAGGACGGTAGCACATTAATGTCTAGCTGATGTGTCGCCCAGTGGATACCCGCAATTCAGTGTCCTACCTGTCTCAGGAGACATAGGTCGACTTTCCCAAGACCTTCCAGAGACTTTTCCCTTCTTCTGAGTCTTGGAAGCCCTGCCCTCCTTCTTCCCTGATCTTCTCGTCTTTCCTCTCTCTCTCTTCTCTCCAGCCTCCTCCTCCTCCTCTTCCATTTCCATGAGCTTGTCCTCCACCAGGATGGTAGGGATGGTCATCTTCAGCGCGGGAGACGTCCTCCCCGGCTCTCCCTTCCATCTCTTCGTTAGAGGGCTGATGGAAGGGGTGGAGGTGGGGGATGGGGTGGGGGACAGCCGTGGTGGCTTGGGAGGATAGGGAAAGGCTGGCTCTTTGGCTGGGGTCGGTGATGGTGCTCTCTGCATGGTGGGGCTTGGAGACCTGGGGCTTGGAGGCCTGCGTTGGTGTAGAGGTTGCTCAAGCTCGTTAGGAGTGGAAGGCCCTTTGGCGTGGGTAGGCGATTCTCTCTGTGCGGTAGGTATTGGAGACCTGCGGTGGTCCATCTTGGGTGGAGGCCCTTTGGGTGTTGGAGATACAGGTGGTTGTTCCTCGGCCGTGTGTGGAGGCTTCGCCGCCGCGGGAGAGCTCTGAAGGACTTCCCTGTGTCAAATGCATTATGTAATGTTGGTACAGGAAATAAAATAGAAAGGCATTATGTCATCTATATCTGTGTACACATATTGCTATTGAGCTGTCAGAACAGTGTGTGCAAATACACACAGGCACACACACGCGTACACACAAATCGACAAACACAAAAACACACAGTGTTAATGGATCATCTGAGCCTACCTGTTTGGGCTTTTCCGCGTGACTCTTGGTGAGGGTGATCGTCGCCCTGGTAACTGGTTAACCAGTACTGTCTCCATGGAAACAGAGCCTTTCCCCACACTTTTAGACTCTGACGGCTGAGCTGACGCTGAAGCTGAATCATGCTGCTCTTGTTGAGGAACATTCCTTTGATCTGTCAGACCCTTCTCTTGGGATTGGGATGTTTTTCGGGACGTAACGCTCTCGTCAACGCTCTTCCCTCCTACTCCTCTCTCCTCCAGGACCCTCTCCCTCTCTTCCAGCTTCTTGACCACCTGAGGGGGAATGGGCTCCAGCTTGCCCACGGACCGACTCTCCGTCTGGGGCAACTGCTCGGTGGAGTAAGCCTTCTTCAGGTTGGGCCTCCCCACCAGCTTCTTGATCCTGGCCAGCTCCTCTGTGAACTTGTTCTGGAAGCTCTGGACCCTCTGCTGGTAGCTTGGTTTGTCCTCCAGAGACGAGGCCCTCTTCTTTCCGAACACGGAACGCCTCGAGGCCGCAGCATCCGGCTGGCTTGTCCCCTCCTCTTTGGAGACCCCCTCCAGATCGCAGGATGCTGCCCGGCCGAAAGAGTGCCCAGATCTGACCCCCGCACTCACCTCACTCACCTTTTGTTCAAACTCCTTGACCTTGTCAAAGATCTTGGGTGCGGTGCGGGCCAATTTGGGTGTCTTGCCACCACTGCTGCCGCTGCTTGAAGTATGGGAGGTGGCTCCTGAAGACCACCCTGGGAGTTTGTTTTTGACCACAGCTCCTCCTAGGGAAGGGTCTTGGGTACTGTGTGAGGTGACACTGTTCTTATTGGAACTGAGGGATGTTGTGGGTTGGGATACAGTTTGACTGGACTGGGGTGAGGCAGGACTGAAGGATGGGCCTGTTTGCGTTTGGGGGAGAGAAGGAGATTGGATCCTGGAAGAGGAGGGTTTTAGGGAAATGGAAAGTTAGACATGAAAAGAAGGGACAAGGAGGGGCCCAGGTTTTTGGAAGAGGAGGAAAAGCCATTGGATGTTTGTGTGCTCGGTAGAGGATGTTTGTGTGCTCGGTAGAGGATGTTTGCTTGAGAACATTTGTGAATCTCGTAATTGTGTTTGTGTGTGTGTGTGTGTGTGTGTATGTGCGTGCCTGTGTCTGTGTCTGTGTGCACGTAAATGAGTGTCCGCTGCTTTATGAAATAGTAATACTGTTTATAGTCAATATAATTTGAGTGTTGATTTCTCATCAGGACAGATTAACTTTCAGAAATAAACAGAACATGGAATGGCCATAGATGTAGTGATTTTAGCACAGATAACATTTAACTTATATGGACACAAATCTCAATCCACTATAGAAGATAATGCTTGTGTCTACCACAACATGTGTAGGAGCCAAACAGATCATATTGTATATTTGTATGTTTCCAATTCATGATGCATTTCTGTTGTATGTGTGTTTGCCACTAATCCCCTGTCAAGTGTGAGTACCCCCTCTACAGGCCAATGGAGAATATAGTTAAAAGGCATACATGCTCCAAGGCCTACTGGGAGTTACTGGAGTGGCAGCCATACCAGACCATGACATGAATGGTCAATGTTATCATGTTGCAGTGACACATAGAGAAATAATAAGAGTCCTGTATGAATTAATCTAATACTAACTCTTCCAACATAACCAGGAAAGACCCCTATTCATCAACTATGAAAACAATCACACATGCTTTGACACACACACCTCTCATGTTAGCTGAACACGCAGTCAATTTAGTTGGGATGAAACTAGTTCACAAACACATGCAGACAAACATTAGCTTTTGATTCACACATCCAGTCATGCATGTGACACCAACGCTATGAAGATATCCAGGAATATCTGACGGTAATGCTAGTAGAACAAGGGAAACAATTTGGTCAACATACATGGCATGCAGCAAAAACCAACGGAAACCAAAGGCTTCAGTGGTACTTTTTGATATCATAAGACAGAACGGAAGTACAGCCGAAGCAAGTAATGGCATGAAGTCAAAGGAAAGTATGATTAAAAAAACTAAACAGAAATAATATACTATAGGAACCAATAATGATTTGGAAAAAGCTAAAAGGCAAGAACACAAAAGGAAATAACAAACATATTATACATTCAATAGAAATCTTTGGGAAGAAATGGATCTAGGAAAATCATGATTGTGATGTGTAATATTTCGTGTTAGTTGTGTCTGTTAAAGTTGGGAAATTGGTTTTCGAGGCCACTCTTTTTATAATTGGGATCAGTGAAAAGAAGAAGTTGTCCCTATAAAGGCATGGAAAACGTTCTTCCCCTGTAGAGGCTAAACATGCTTCCATAGTAGTCGCTTCCTACAGACACACTTTCCTCCGACCCCAGCATGGGTTGGTTAGTGCGAGCCAGGTTAGCGTGAGACGCCCGGATCAAGGGCTCCACACCCAGGTGTCTGACTAGGGCCCCTGGCCCCCCATCGGTCCCGCCGCAGAGAGCTTGCCTGCCGGAGTGTGTTGGGTCCTGGGCCCCTGGGGGCCGTGAGCCCAAAGCCATGAGCTCCCTCTCCACCACTGGGTCATGGCCCCCAGGAAAGGTGGCCCTCCGGTCAGGGCTGGAGTCCATCATCCTACCTCCTTCACCTGCAGGGACAGAGGACAGGGGTCAGGGGTCAGACTGGAGATGGAGACATAGAGAAGAATGTGGATTAGAGAGAGGGAATAGAGATAGAGTGAAAGTAAGAAAGATTAGAGAGAGAGAGAGAGAGAGAGAGAGAGAGAGAGAGAGAGAGAGAGAGAGAGAGAGAGAGAGAGAGAGAGAGAGAGAGAGAGAGAGAGAGAGAGAGCATAGATCAATAGAAGAAGATACTGAGAAGGTTAACAAATAAAAAATGGAAGTAGACAGGAGTTAAGACAAGCACTGGAAGAATGTCTAAACCAACAAAGATGATTGATTAAGTAGAGCAGTAGGAAAGAAGGAAATAAGCAAATGTGTCCCACCACAAGCACTGAAACAACCCCCGAGCTCGACCAATCAGATAATGATTGACATTTTATTGAGTGGCGATGGAGACAGAAATGCGTCGGCAACTGAAAGAAGTTGAAGTCAGCAGCTTCCTTTAACGACTAAACCCATTTATTGGGACGAGACGAGGAAACGAGGGAAAACAAGCAAGCAGCATCTCCCACAAGCACTGAGGATTTTAAACAGACTCAACTCCACCGACTAAACACAAATTCAGATCTCAAAAAAGCCCAATATGAGCAATCTGTAGTAGACGCAGGATGGGGCCCACTGATAAAAGCACACAGCCTTCCAAAATCTTGCCATGCAGATCTTTAAAAGCCTCTCTGGCCTTGAGGTGGATTCCCTCTGGCAGGGCTTCTCCGGGCGCTCTGGGGTGGAAGGAAGGGGGGTGGACTACTTAATCCTGCCAGCACTCCAAAACGCAGGTGTGGAACGAGAAATGGTTTTTCCATTTTCCATGACTCATTCTGAAGCTAATGATGATGAAAGACATTATCCTCACACGACACCTTACTAACCACAAGCATCCTACATTTCTGCATTATCGGTTAAGAAAAGGGTTCATTGGAACCAATCAAGATTTTTCTTTTTGGGAAGAAATTAAATTAGCTGGTGGAATATAATTTACATGCATCAGCTACATTATTAGTGAAGATGATTTCTGTGCTGAGCTAAGGGACAGTTATTAGAGGAAATGCAATTTGCATTGTTATCTGGTTGATATTTGGTATTATAAACTGGGTTGTTCGAGCCCTGAATGCTGATTGACTGACAGCCGTGGTATATCAGCCTGCATACCACGGGTATGACAAAACATTTATTTTTAATACTCTAGTTACGTTGGTAATCAGTTTATAATAGCAATAAGGCACCTTGGGGGTTTGTGGTATATTGTCAATATACCACAGCACTCCCTTGGATGTACACAGAGAGCTCAAAGTGGAGGAGAGATTGACTTCATCACTACTTGTATTTATGAGCGGTATTGACATATTGAATGCGCCGAGCTGTCTGTTTGAACTACTGGCGCACAGCTCAGACACCCATGCATACCCCACAAGACATGCCACAAGAGGTCTCTTCAAAGTCCCCAAGTCCAGAACAGACTATGGGAGGTGCAAGGTACTACATAGAGCCATGACTACATGGAACTCGATTCCACATCAAGTAACTGATGCAAGCAGTAAAATTAGATCTAAAAAACAGATAAAAATACACCTTATGGAACAGCGGGGACTGTGAAGCAACACTAACATAGGCCCAGACACATGCATACACACACACGATAACATACGCACTATACACAAACATACACATGGATTTTGAACTGTAGATATGTGGTAGTGGTGGAGTAGGGGCCTGAGGGCACACAGTGTGTTGTGAAATCTGTGAATGTATTTTAATGTTTTTAAAATTGTATGAACTGCCTTAATTTTGCTGGACCCCAGGAAGAGTAGCTGCTGCCTTGGCAGCAGCTAATGGGGATCCATAATAAATACAAATACAAATACTCTGCGTTGCGTCGTGCCTAATAACAACATTTAGCCGTGGTATATTGGCCATATATCACACTCCCTCGAGCCTTATTGCTTAAATGTATTCAAGCATCCTACATTTGTGCATTATCGGTTAACAAAAGGGTCCATTGGAACCAATCAATGTTTTTCTTTTTGGGAAGAAATGAAATTAGCTGGTGGAATATAATTTACATGCATTAGCTACATTTTTAGTGAAGAGGATTTCTGTGCTGAGCTAAGGGGCAGTTATTAGAGGAAATGCAATTTGCGTTGTTATCTGGTTGATATTTGGTTAGGTACTCCGCCTCTCACTGCAGGTGGGGCGGTGAGTGAAAGACGTCTTTGTGTTGGTTCCTTTGACTGAGTATGGAAAGAACAAACACTGAATCACTCCTCCCCTCTCGTTTGATAGCACCACTCTCTCTCTCTCTCTTCATCCTCCCTCCACTCTCATTTGATAGCACCATTCTCTCTCTTTTTCTCTTCTCTTTCGGGAACGACGGCACTCTCGGGTCTGTCAACACGAAACCTTCGAAAGTGCAAACAGTATCTTTACAACCGAGCAAGGAGGACAGAATTTAAAATAGATGTGTGCTGCGAGAGGAGTGCATCCATGTTCATGGACTACATTTCGACAGACTGGTGACCCCTGTTGTGAAGCATCTGCTTTGGTGGCACCGATGAGCACTGTCATACCCCCATAACAAATCATCATCAGTTCCCTGTCAAATCCTGTTTCATCCATATTTCCATACACCTAGAGTTGGTACTGTAAGTAAAGGGGTGGTATAATGTGATGTTCAAGCTGGGGAAATGCTCTGTTTTCTGAGAGCCAGGGCTCTCTATCCAGACCATAACTCTGTAGGGTGGCAGTGACACAGACAGACAGACAGACAGACAGACAGACAGACAGACAGACAGACAGACAGACAGACAGACAGACAGACAGACAGACAGACAGACAGACAGACAGACAGACAGACAGACAGACAGACAGACAGACAGACAGACAGACAGACAGACAGACAGACAGACAGACAGACAGACAGACAGACAGACAGACAGACAGACAGACAGACAGACAGACAGACAGACAGACAGACAGACAGACAGACAGACAGACAGACAGACAGACAGACAGACAGACAGACAGACAGACAGACAGACAGACAGACAGACAGACAGACAGACAGACAGACAGACAGACAGACAGACAGACAGACAGACAGACAGACAGACAGACAGACAGACAGACAGACAGACAGACAGACAGACAGACAGACAGACAGACAGACAGACAGACAGACAGACAGACAGACAGACAGACAGACAGACAGACAGACAGACAGACAGACAGACAGACAGACAGACAGACAGACAGACAGACAGACAGACAGACAGACAGACAGACAGACAGACACAGAGAGAGAGAGAGAGAGAGAGAGAGAGAGAGAGAGAGAGAGAGAGAGAGAGAGAGAGAGAGAGAGAGAGAGAGAGAGAGAGAGAGAGAGAGAGAGAGAATGCAACGGCTCCAAGAGGTTACCTGACAGCATGTAGGTCAGTATGTCACATTGTCACACAATTACATCATGGTGTAAAGGATTAAAGGAGTCTGTTATGTCATATATACGTTTCATCCAACGAGTAGGTCCTATGCCAACATACACATAGTGCCATAACCGACAATCAAAATAAAGCCATGCAAACACATGCATTTACTTTTTTAATTATGCTTATGTCTTAATCCCGGAAACCTGATTTACCAGACTTGATTAAGGAGGGGCCTTTAAATCACAGATCATGCTCAAGTTATTGAATTAAGTGAATTACCTGCAGGCACTCTACGGCCAGCCTTGTCCTGGTGCCGCCCACCGGGTCCTTCCTTGGTTTCCATGGGTACCTGGGGCTCCGTGGCTTCATCCTCTGTGGTTTCAGAGTCTGAGGGGAGGAAGATGAGGAAGAGGAGGATGAGAAGAAAGCGAGAGAGGAATAAAACAACAGCTGAGTCTGAGTCACGGTGACAAATGACACTTCACTTTCACTTAGCGACAGAGAGGATAATGGGTAATAGAGTTGAGCCTTGGCAGGTCTCCTTCAGAGGTAATACAAGGGGGAGTCACTGAACTGTTCTATAAAGCCAGATGTGGCCTCTAGAAATACACTACTAGACTGGTTGAAATACATTTATAGAAATGACCTTCTAGACTGGCTACCAGTCTGTTTTAACTAGGTATGTTACTGGTAATAGAGGCTAGTGCTGAAACCAGACTAGCATCCATTCCATTCCAAACCCATTGGAAGTCTGTTGATCCCACAGAAGACAACGTCAATAAGGACCATTATACCCCTTTTAACTGCAAAAGTGCCCTTTAGCCCACTAATTGATGGTGTTTAATATATATATTTAATAGATATAAGCACCCTATACATACTTTAACTGTGGCCTTTGATTTGGAGGCCTTGTGCAAATCGTCTCAAAGGAGACAAGTCGATTCAGCGACCTTTAATGAGATCAATAGAGATGTTACACAGAAGCTGACATTTCTGTGAGCGTTAGGGAAGATATTAAGAAAAAACATTAACCATTTAAGAGACTTAAAAGGACATTAGCAATGGGTGAAATACTAGAAGAAATTGGGACATGGTCAGAATTCAATGATGTATAGTGCAAAATCCAAAATCCTGTGGAAATGTTGGGAAGAGAGCAATAGACATATTCAAGAGATGGAGAAATCAAATAGATGAATAGAAAATTATAAATAAAGACAGAGAAGTAGAAATGAGTCCAGGCAAACATGGGAGGACCACTTTCACCACAGTAACATGGGAGGACCACTTTCACCACAGTAACATGGGAGGACCACTTTCACCACAGTAACATGGGTGGGCCACTTTCACCACAGTAACATGGGAGGACCACTTTCACCACAGTAACATGGGAGGACCACTTTCACCACAGTAACATGGGAGGACCACTTTCACCACAGTAACATGGGAGGACCACTTTCACCACAGTAACATGGGAGGACCACTTTCACCACAGTAACATGGGAGGACCACTTTCACCACAGTAACATGGGAGGACCACTTTCACCACAGTAACATGGGAGGACCACTTTCGCCACAGTAACATGGGAGGACCACTTTCGCCACAGTAACATGGGAGGACCACTTTCACCACAGTAACATGGGAGGACCACTTTCACCACAGTAACATCGGAGGACCACTTTCACCACAGTAACATCGGAGGACCACTTTCACCACAGTAACATGGGAGGACCACTTTCACCATAGTAACATCGGAGGACCACTTTCGCCACAGTAACATGGGAGGACCACTTTCACCACTGTAACATGGGAGGACCACTTTCACTACAGTAACATGGGAGGACCACTTTCGCCACAGTAACATGGGAGGACCACTTTCGCCACAGTAACATGGGAGGACCACTTTCACCACAGTAACATCGGAGGACCACTTTCACCATAGTAACATCGGAGGACCACTTTCACCACAGTAACATCGGAGGACCACTTTCACCACAGTAACATGGGAGGGCCACTTTCACCACAGTAACATAGGAGGACCACTTTCACCACAGTAACTTCGGAGGACCACTTTCACCACAGTAGCATGGGAGGACCACTTTCGCCACAGTAACATGGGAGGACCACTTTCACCACAGTAACATGGGAGGACCACAGTATCTTGGCTTGTAGATGTAACAAAAATCAACAAAAAGTCCCCTAGCACATTGATATGGCAAATCAATAATAAAAAAAAAGAGAGAGAGAGAGAGAGAGAGAGAGAGAGAGAATGGACACGACTGAAAGAGAGTGAGGTAGAAAACAAGACAAGACTGGTTTACCATAGCTTTGCTTTCGGCAGGAGCGGAAAACTTCGCTTCCATAGTGGCAGCAAGAGAGGGCAGACGGGAGAGCACAGTTACTATAGAAACCACCATCTCTCTCACCCACACGACCAATTGGCTCCATACCCATTAGAGTCTAAAATCACCAGCCCAACTGCCAACCCTGACACATACGCTTAGATAGCCTACTGCTGGAGCCTGCTGAGGAAGAGGCAAACAAATGGGTTATGCCTCATTTCACTGTCATGTTGCTTTGGATAACAGTATCTGCTAAATGACAGAACAAGGGGTAAATGTGAAATAGACAATAACAGTGATCATACAGTTTTAACAGTACATTTCCTTGTGTATTTGGATTCACCCAACTGTACCAAGTGGGATGGGACTAAATAGCTGGACACACACTGTGCGAGAGATATCGACTCAGCAATATGAGAGGCTGTATTTCAAAATGTCTTGCTGCAATATACACCGTGGATTAGATTAACTGTTGGGTGGAAATATGATTTGGAAAAGGAGCTATGAGCATTTCTGTTTGACTGAGATTCCAGATGTAATGCTATACAACTAAGACCCTCAGAAATGATTCATTCTGTGATGTTATGCAGAGATACAACAATATGGTTACAAGAAAATTGCTTGTGGGGGCGGAGGAGAGGCATTCTGACAGCTAAATAATAAAAAAGCCCACAGTCTTTTTCCTAGCAGCAATTAAAACATTAAACATGCATGAATACTCTGTACTAAATCAGTTTTTTAAAAACAAATACCTTTTTTAATACAGAAAGTGTTAAGTGGTTCTCAGATACGACAACAAGCTAAATATGGACAGTAAAACTCAGTTTCTGTGTAATAACTATGTATTAATAACTGTGTAATAACCATTATTAAATGTGTAATAACTATTATTAACTGTGTTTATTACTAAGTAATAACTGTAATAACCATTATTAACTGTGTAATAACAATTATTAACTGTGTAATAATTATTATTAACTGTGTAATTACTTTTATTAACTGTGTAATTACTAAGTAATAACTGTGTAATAACTCATACAGCAAACACACCATGGGTGAACCTTCCAAACGTCTTGGTAGAGTGTCCGGTCCTCTGAAATAGTAGAGAGATACAGAGTTGCATGATTCAAACCAGCAAAAAGTACAACAGTCATGACACTTAATGAGTTATTGAAATCAGAGGATTCCATTTTTGTCCAAATCCACAAAAAAAAGGCTCAAACAAGAGAAGAAGCTCATATCTCAAACTCCATACCACATCCTTACAACCTAACCTAAAAAAACTACACACTAATAACTTGATAAGTCATTACTTCCAATGACTCCTATAACCTTTAGCATTTTCCTGACCAACCATCGATCAGGACCTTGGAAAGCTCACAGAGAGCTCAATGGAATGACTCATTACAGTGCAGAGACACAGAAAACCCTGAAGTCAGAGCAAAGTAATGATTCAGCTGCTAGATCAATCAGCCTGCTCTGCTCTCTAAGTACCATGCCTACTGCTATTTGCCAGCCAGAGCCTGTTGATGAAGTGTTGCCTGGTTGCCACAGTGAGACAAAAATGACAGAAGCAACTAGAAGCGTCCATTGTCAATCTCCTGTTCATGATTATAGGGGCCTCTAGGCAATCATATCAGGACATACAGATGTAGGATCTTAGTTTGAGCCAATTTGCTATAGAAGGAAAATAATCCTGCAGCAACAGGAAATATTTATTATTATGTGGATTATAATATTAATATTCATTATAATGTGAATATTATTATATTAATGGAAATGTTTTGTAGGGGTAGATACATTTTTCGTTAGGGCAAAGTCTGACAATTGAAAGTGGAAATTACAAACTGTAGAAGCCTTTTTAAACCTTGAATAGACTACAAGTTTGCATCTCAGCAACAAAAGAGTGATCAAATTAAGATCCTACATCTGTAGCAGGCAGAAACAGGCACAAACTGTATTTCTGCGCAGTAAAGGCTTCTGGCTTGGCAAGGCTGGTTAATCACTGGGCACCATAGTTTCCTCAAAGCTCTATACAGTTTATGCCAGAGTTTGAAGTGGATATTTCACAAGGTTTATATTGTTATATTGTTATTTCTGAATATAGACTGTGTCGTACATACCACATAATTGTACTTGGTCATCTAGTGCTACATATCAGTTGTCTGCACTGTGGCCAAGTGACACACTTCTCTGTTCTTGACAGATCACATTTGGGATAAACCCAATGTCAAATCCAAAATCTTAGAATATCAGACATTCTCTGTCAGGATACATATTGTAGAGCACACATATGCTAATTAGCATAACATGTGTTATAAATTGAACATTTATAATATAAATGGAGAAGAAAAAACTGTTTGACTGTGAAATTATTCCGAAAGCTGATTTTCCACCCATCTCCCAAACCCATCTTGCCACCAGCCAACAGAATGTGACATTGTCCCCTGGAGTGGCATTCTTTGTTACCATGTCATGTGGAACTGGAAAGCACACCCTCTGTGCCACAGGCCATTAGAACCCAGAGGACACTGAGGACATTATTCCACACAGAGAACTATACTACAAATTACCTACTGTACAGACCTGGATTCATTAACCTATAGCAACAAAGACCTGTGCTTACTGGTAAACCGGTAAAAGGGTGGGGCAACAAAGTATGTATCCTTCTCCTCTTTGTTCTAGTAATTTATCACATTATAGCTCTGTAGTAGTCCATGAGAAAACGGCTTAGATAAGAGCACACACTAACTGTATAAAAGCAAGTGTCTGAAAGGTAAAGACTAACCTGGAACCTCTTCTTGGACCAGATTTTCTTCATGTCTAGAAGTAGCGTCTCTCTCTCTCTCTCTCCTACTCTCTCTCGATGCCCTCCTCTCGGTTGCAGATTACCTGTGGCACTTGCTCAGCAAAACATTACTGCTGCGATCCTACGCAAACGGAGTGTGGGGCAACAACAATAATTCTCACACAAACAATGTAAATAGATGGAGCTCTCTTCACGCGCGTGGGTGTTTATAATCCTCTGGTCTGGATGAGATGAGGAAAGTTACAATCCACAAGATCCAGGTGTCTTTGTGTGAGAGTGAGAGTGTTTATCCGCCAAGGTGAGTGGCATCACTCTGGTTATTAGGATATTCAATTATTGCATCTGAGCTCCTAGAGTGTGCGGCTTTCCTTTTCTTTTTCGAGTGGCATCACTCTGACATAGCACACTATGCTCTGACTGCTGCCGGAGGAGAAAATGTTCAGCTGAACGCTGACACAAGCCGAGCCGGTCTCCATCCCCTCCGACCCATCCCTCCCTCCCTCCTTCAGGCCCTCCTCGGAGCAACAGCAGCCAGCCAGAGAGGAACAGATTGAGACCCCAACCCGTGAGGACAACAACAGTGGAGAGATGTGATCCGCAGGAAGGAAAACAACCTGCTCCTCTAAACCATCCTCTCTGTCTCCTCTCTCTCTGTCACAGCGCCAGCAGCAGCAGGAGGAGAGAGAGAGAGAGAGAGCAGACAAAGAGAGAGTAGAGGGGAGTCACAGAGGGAGCAGGAGAGAGAGAAAGACAGACCAATAGAGAGGGAGGGAGAATAGAGACAGACCAATAGAGAGGGAGGGAGAATAGAGACAGACCAATAGAGAGGGAGGGAGAATAGAGACAGGGCAATAGAGAGGGAGGGAGAATAGAGACAGGCCAATAGAGAGGGAGGGAGAACAGAGACAGACCAATGGAGAGGGAGGGAGAATAGAGACAGGCCAATAGAGAGGGAGGGAGAATAGAGACAGACCAATAGAGAGGGAGGGAGAATAGAGTGGGAAATAGAATCAGAGAAACAGAGCTCCCTCAGTTCTGTTGACATCATAAACCCACAGTTGACGTGTGCCCCGCTTCCAACCCCGCCCTCCCCAAAATCCAAATCCTTAATCCAAACTGACTCTTATTTTGTGATCCCTCTCTCCTCTCCTCCTCTGCTATATTCTCCTCAGCCCCAGTATCTTCACAGAGGAGAGGAAGAATGCAGCCTTCAGAAAAACAGCCTCCCCACCCCCCAAGGCATCAATTATACATTCATGGTCCATGTCTGTGACGTTCTGCTAATCTGACACCACGATAAATAGCAATCAGTTATTTGCACCAGTGAACAGAGCAGAATTTCCCCTCTCCATTTCTCTCTCTCTGCTCCAGCTCTGTCCCCAACACTATACACATGGTGCAGAGATAGATTAGCTTGATGGCTAGCTGGTGCAACATACAAGCTGTGCATGCCAGTCTCTGACAGATACACAAATCAACAGGAACAACAAACACCATGGATGCAAACAACTCTTCATCCCTCCCCCATCACCTCGCCTCATGCATCTCCAGAAAGAAGGGATTTGACCGAGTTTGGGAAACCCTGTTTAGTGTGTCAGTAGGTCAGAGTGTGTGAGGGACATGGAGTCTTAACCATCAATAAATTATGTGGGAAAAGATGATGATGTCTTTCTATTCTGCCTCCCCGTTCTACAGTTCTCACAGGAATAATCATCAACTATAAATAACAGATCATGAAACAAACAGATGTTGTGAAAGGAATTAGGGAATGAGGAAAGAGGAACGGTGAAGAGCACACTTCATCCTCCCACTGATATCACCTGACACTACAAATCCTCCCTTCTTATTACAGGCCTGTCACACACACACACACACACACATACACACACACACACACACACACACTGCATAATGTATTGTTCTCTCAGACACATCTGTGTCGTCCACACCACATCCATCAAATTCATTTAAATATAATAACAGGCGGACCCAGATCTCATTGTAAAAACCTCCCAGCCATCCATAAACTAGATTGGGCATTTTTGCAGATTTAGGCCAAATCTTTCACACTGCTATGGACTGCTATGCTGAGCAATCCACTTATTTAACGTTGTTACGTGAGACATGTTACTGTTTATGGGTCTGCAACACAGAATCAATACCCAGGGGATATTACCACATGCCCATAAATCAGAGAAAGCCAACCATTCACAGACGTCGCAACAGATGAGCCTTTTTGTAGCTAAAGCCTCCATTGATTGCAATAATGTCGTTTATTTACCCATTTGGCTGTTTCTAAGTAAGTGAATGCGCCTTAATACAAAAAAATACAGTGTTCCTGTTTTCTCAAAAGCTGCCTCAATAGCTATAAGCCTTCTCTTTCCTTCCTTCCTTCCTTCCTTCCTTCCTTCCTTCCTTCCTTCCTTCCTTCCTTCCTTCCTTCCTTCCTTCCTTCCTTCCTTCCTTTCCTCCTTCCTTCCTTCCTTCCTTCCTTTCTTTCCTCCCTCCGGCTCCCTCCATCCCTCTTCATCCCTCCCCCATCACCTCGCCTCATGCATCTCCAGAAAGAAGGGATTTTCTCCGGCACTGAGTAATCAATACCAAGGCTCTCTATGCGATACAGGATACACCACTATAGTCATATTCACTCGACCGGGATCAATATGTCCCCGGACCAATCATAACACTGCCTTCTAGTACAGCTGTCCAATGAAAATCCAAGAAGCAGGTATCAAAGCTACAATACGTTGTCAGACAAATGACCTAAGGGCGATTCAGTTATACAGTGGCTTGCGAAAGTATTCACCCCCCTTGGCATTTTTCCTATTTTGTTGCCTTACAACCTGGAATTAAAATTGATTTTTTGGGGGTTTGTATCATTTGATTTACACAACATGCCTAACCACTTTGAAGATGCAAAATATGTTTTTTTGTGAAACAAACAAGAAATAAGACAAAAAAACTGAAAACTTGAGCGTGCATAACTCTTCACCCCCCAAAAGTCAATACTTTGTAGAGCCACCTTTTGCAGCAATTGCAGCTGCAAGTCTCTTGGGGTTATGTCTCTATAAGCTTGGCACATCAAGCCACTGGGAGTTTTGCCCATTCTTCAAGGCAAAACTGCTCCAGCTCCTTCAAGTTGGATGGGTTCCGCTGGTGTACAGCAATCTTTAAGTCATCCCACAGATTCTCAATTGGATTGATGATTAGGCCATTCCAAGACATATCAATATTTCCCCTTAAACCGCTCAAGTGTTGCTTAGGGTCATTGTCCTGCTGGAAGGTGAACCGCCGTCCCAGTCTCAAATCTCTGGAAGACTGAAACAGGTTTCCCTCAAGGATTTCCCTGTATTTAACACCATCCATCATTCCTTCAATTCTGACCAGTTTCCCAGTCCCTGCCGATGAAAAACATCCCCACAGCATGATGCTGCCACCACCATGCTTCACTGTGGGGATGATGTTCTCGGGGTGATGAGAGGTGTTGGGTTTGCGCCAGACATAGTGTTTTCCTTGATGGCCAAAAAGCTCAATTTTAGTCTCATCTGACCTGAGTACCTTCTTCCATATGTTTGGGGAGTCTCCCACATGCCTTTTGGCGAACACCAAACGTGTTTGCTTATTTTTTTCTTTAAGCAATGGCTTTTTTTCTGGCCACTCTTCCGTAAAGCCCAGCTCTGTGGAGTGTACGGCTTAAAGTGGTCCTATGGACAGATACTCCAATCTCCACTGTGGAGCTTTGCAGCTCCTTCAGGGTTATCTTTGGTATCTTTGTTGCCTCTCTGATTAATGCCCTCCTTGCCTGGGCCGTGGGTTTTGGTTGGCGGCCCTCTCTTGGCAGGTTTGTTGTAGTGCCATATTCTTTCCATTTTTTAATAATGGATTTAATGGTGCTCCGTGGGATGTTCAAAGTTTCTGATATTTTTTTTATAACCCAGCCCTGATCTGTACTTCTCCACAACTTTGTCCCTGACCAGTTTGGAGAGCTCCTTGGTCTTCATGGTGCCGCTTGCTTGGTGGTGCCCCTTGCTTAGTGGTGTTGCAGACTCTGGGGCCTTTCAGAACAGGTGTATATATACTGAGATCATGTGACAGATCATGTGACACTTAGATTGCACACAGGTGGACTTTATTTAACTAATTATGTGACTTCTGAAGGTAATTGGTTGCACCAGATCTTATTTAGGGGCTTCATAGCAAAGGGGGTGAATACATATGCACGCATCCACTTTTACGTTATATATTTTCTAGAAATTGTAGATATTTTTTTTTCATTTCACTTCACCAATTTGGACTATTTTGTGTATGTCCATTACATGAAATCCAAATAAAAATCTATTTAAATTACAGGTTGTAATGCAACAAAATAGGAAAAACGCCAAGGGGGATTAATACTTTTGCAAGACACTGTATCACAGTAAGTCACCATAGTAAAATAAAAAATAAAAAATAGGTCATTTAGCAGTCGCTCTTATCCAGAGCGACTTACAGGAGCAATTAGGGTTAAGTGCCTTGCTCAAGGGCACATCGTCAAATGAAAATAAATGGAAAAAGCCTGACTCCCATGCAGATATCAATTTGCTGCTGCAATACAATAGCAAACATACCATTTACTCTACTTGAATTAGCTTACAACAATGAGAAACAGAGCAGACTTCATGGAAGCCCATTGATTTTGTGACAGAGGGGGGTTTCAGTGGCGCAGCTCTGATGAACACTCAGCAGGCTGGCAACTCTATCAGAGTTTATCTGGCATTAGCTCCCTGAGGTAGAAAACAGACCCCGGTGTGGGCGCATCTTAATCAAGTTGGTTTTTTATTAATGAGTCACTTTTCGCTACAGGTTCAACCACAGGACACCGTCATACCCAACAGAGGAACTTAGAGCCTTCTCCAAAACACTTTAGTCACAACCCATATCTAGACGTTTGCTGGGAAAGACAAGGTAATCATTCCTCTTGCCCTGAGGTTTCCCCGTTAGTTTCCATTTGCCCCGGTCTAGTTAGAGAAAACTTGCCACTGGGCACAGACGTCAGTTCAACGTCTAGTTTTGATTTATATTTGGTTGAGTTGTTAACTAACATGAATTCAATGTGAAATCAACCAAAAAATATCACCCTGTCATTGGATTTAGGTTAAATGTTTGGTGAAAAAAAGACAAAATTCCTTTAGGTTGATGACTTTTTGCAAATCCAATCAGTTTTCCACTTTCATTCAACATTTTGGGGTTGAAATGACGTGGAAACAACGTTGATTCAACAATTTTTTCCCCAGTGGGTTTGTACATTCTACTACTGTAATACCCTTTTAATACAACAGAACCCGTTCAATTCTTGTAAACGTAGCTCAGAGTCAGACCCTGTGGTGATACAGGATGGTATAGAGGCCCATGCCCCGATTACAGACATAGTGACATGTCTGTACTGACGACCATAAAGAAACCTGAACCTATCACCTAATCCTGGCCCCCTCCAGGCCTCAGACCATGTGACTGACGCCAAACTAGAGAGAAGGAACATAAACAAGGACAAGCGCCAGGCCAAACACAGAGGCACCTCATCTCATGCTCCGGGGTCAAAGTTCCCCTAGGTACTGATCTAGGATCATCTTTCCTCACCTGACAAAATAGGTCAGTTCCCTTGATGTGGCGATACATCGTGGTCCGTGACCATGCACTGTGATATATTCTGGGAATGTAATGTGATTTCACGTCACACAGATGCCTCTTGCTAGCTTATCTCATTCTCTAGGTCTGGTCTATGTTAGCCACAGGACTGGATAGGGGACTGGGGTGATAAAGAGAGGCAGAGAGAGGGAGGGGGGGAAGAGAGAGAATGAGAGAGAGGGGGAGGGGGGCAGAGAGAGAGAGAGCGGGAGAGAGAAAGAGAGAGATACTATGAGATACTCTATGTCTACAGTATGGACTAAAATTAGGAGGTACTGTATCTACCATGTGACCAGACAGACAGGCAGTCGGGCTGACAGATACACAGACAACTGGGGTTCAATGGGGGCCGACCCTCACTGGTGGGAGATAATGTATTTACAACTACAACCCACAGCTGAAATTTAGTATTTGATGAAGTATTGCAATATTATCATTTGAATGAATGTACTATCTAGTATGTGCTGTAGATAGTACAGTAATTTTATGTATGCAATGCCCAGTCATTTTTCTCAGCGTCTGTTAATTGTTGAGAGCCTAGAAAAATAGACTATCCTCAGAGGCAGTAATCTTGCGTATCTAGATGTCATCATCGGGGGATGCTGTGAATAGCCTGCTCATTGGATGAGTATTATTGGTTTGCACTGGAAGCCTGTCAGCCAGCCAACACCTGTTAGGTTTGAAACATCCTGGTCCCCAACTAGAATTAGAAGAATAGGTCAATGGCGTTGTACATTTAAATATTCTATAAGAAGGTAGTCTTAATAACGTGACCAATAAGGAATGGAAGAGAATGGACAGAGTAGGAAATATCTGTCTGATGTGCTCTTCTGTGTCTGTTGTGACATCATCATTGTCCCATCCTTCTTTGATTCAGACTTCGTCACAGTAAGCACAACAACGTCAGACTTTCATAAGATAATAGATAGCTGAATAATAACAAATAGCCCAGACACTTCTCATGATTTCCATGTGGTTGGTTAGAAAGAGTTCTCACACTCACCTTTGGGTTTCTTTCTCCTGGGGCCAGTCACACTGTCCCTCACACTTCTCAAAGCCTTCCGAGCATCCAGATACTCCTTCTTTAGCATGGCTCCAGTTGATATCTGTCTCACTCTCTTATTCTTTTAACATTGGGTCTCTCAGATGTGTACTCCTCCTGATCGAACTTTCCTCTTCTTGTCAAACTCTCAAATCACCATCAAATCACAATCTAAGCCCATTCCTCTTCACTTGACACTTCTTCCTGGTTTTACCCTCAAATCATGACCTCAGTGAGGTAAGGATTACTTATTTCAAATTGGCCACTTCTCCTTAGTTGGAATGTGTATCCCAATCGCATGGAGGCAAGGATGAATATGACATCCTTAAAATGGCTTCTCCTCCCAGACTCCTAGATGTCCTGTCTTCTTCATGGCCAGGGTGAGGACATATTCCTTAACATGGCTGCCTCAATGCTCCT